TCCTACGCATTACATGCCCATACCACGATAGACGATTACTCTTTAATCTCTCTGTCACATAATACTATTACTGTATTTATTTGACATAATATTAAATAAAAAGTCTGTTTCAGTATTTTAATATTTTTCAATTTCCAAATTGTGTTATTAATATATAAGATGTTCTATCCATGTAGTTTGTATGTATGTATATTTATATATTGTATTTGTACATTAAAGTTTAATAAATAAATGATGTGGATTTAGGTAGAAATAGTACCTAATGTTTTTAGATGGACCAGGATCGAATTCGCGACCTTAATAATTTAACAAGTTGGTCGAGGGGAGAATTAGGCCACGAGGTTCTTAAAATATAGACACTGGATATTGGTACGTATTGTAGGAGTTTCAAGTGTCTATGTTTTGAGAACTTACTACGTTCGAGCTAAATAAATTGCAGATTATAGGGGATGAATGGATCTTATCTTGATGTCTTGTTGAAGGTTAAATTTGTCTATTGTTTGATGTATATATTAAATACTAGCTGTTGTCTGCGACTTCGTCTGCGTTTTGGTAGTTTTTCGTAAAATAAGTAGCCTAACTAAGTAAGCCTTCCTTACATTTTTCTTCATTGTTCTGCTTCTATTGATCGTAGCGTGATGAAAAGTATACTATAACCTGCCCAGGAGTATGAAGAATAATTGTACCAAGTTTCGTTAAAATCCGTCGAGTACTTTTTGTTTCTATAAAGAACATACAGACAGACAGACAAAAATTTTACTAATTGCGTTTTTGGCATCAGTATTGATCACTAATCACCCCCTCATAGTTATTTTGGAAATATATTTCATGTACAGAATTGACCACTCTACAGATTTATTATAAGTATAGATAATTTGACTATCTCGGTAGTCTAGTAGTTACACAAACAGCCTTACTTCCGATGGTCGCGCGTTCATTTCCTCGCAAGATCAAACATTTGTATTCATAAGTATGATTGTTTGTATCGGTCTGAGTGTTTTCTATGTATTACAATATTATGTAGTATTTACGAAAAAATCTATGTTTTTGTATCAGTTATCTAGTATATAACTTGGGTCTAGATGGCGCTGTGTGAATTGTCCTAAGATTATTATTATTATTACTATAAACGATACACTCAATCCAGTACAACCTAACTAAATCTACACCGTAAACTTATTTATTATAAAGTTCAAATTTACTCAAACTTGATCCGAAATGTATTCATAGACGAATTGAATCTGTAAATTTCAAACACTAATGGAACCATAGATTATATAGAAACTAATATTAGTTCAATATCTTTTGAAAGGAACATGTCTGTAATAGACATTTGACGTATATACGGTACGTCGTAGGCGTTTATATAGCTATATATACGTGTATATAGCTATTTAAATTTCTTTACTCATTGAAGATCAAGGTCGATTGGTAAACAACACCCAATTTATATTTGGTAGTCTTCAAATGTATGTGTATGTATACACTCTTATACATTCACATATAAATGTTATAATGTTTACAATCTTCTTAATATTTTTTTTCTTTTCACAGACATAGAGTCCGTGCTCTTATTATATGAATATACATTATTATTAATTAATTAATTATTATTAATATTATAAACGTGACAGTTTGTAAGTATGGATGTTTGAAAGAGTTACACGCTAAAACTACTAAACGGATTTTGATGAAACTTTACAGTAATATAGCTTATGCATCAGAATAAAACATAGGCTATATTTTATATTGAAATAAAACGCGGGTTAAACCGCGGATACTGTTAGTAGGTATAGTATAAATAATAACATTATATGTACTTATAAATTTAATAAAAAAAACGTAAATATTTGTATATATGCACCAGAAAAGGAAAATAAAAAATAATATAAATAATTGGAATACTAAAAAATGTATTTGCGTAATACCGAGATTGTATCAATGATACTTGTTTTATTGAATGATAATGATTTTTTGTTTTCTGACATAAAGATTAAATTACTATACAATTTTAATAGGCACATTGTGTGAATTGAGTGATGTGATTATGTGATGAGACAGCTATCCGAATGTGCGGTAGATTACAAATGTTAACATTAACATCTTTGTAATTTAATTATTGTTTTTGTTTTGTCTAATAGGTCTCCAAGATCTACCTATTCGGCAATTAAATCAGTTATCCTAACCTTGATTTGATATAAACTGCCTTCTTCTACGTACGTAAGATAATAGAATAGAAAATAATTTATTGAAACAATTTAACCACTTTTGTATTTGAATAGCCAATTCAAATACAAAAGTGGTTAAATTGTTGAATAGCCAATTCAAATACAAAAGTGGTTAAATTGTTTCAATAAATTATTTTCTATTCTATTATCTTACGTACGTAGAAGAAGGCAGTTTATATCAAATCAAGGTTAGGATAACTGATTTAATTGCCGAATAGGTAGATCTTGGAGACCTATTAGACAAAACAAAAACAATAATTAAATTACAAAGATGTTTATCGATTTTCATTTCTGTATTATGCAAGACTAGATGTTCCCGCGATTTCTTCCGTCTGGAATTTAACTTTATTTTTCTAACATAAAAGAATATTTCTAAAATAAAGTAGTCAGTTACTCCTTATTACATCAGGTAGCTGCAAAAAAAACCCCGTCAAAATCAGTCCAGCCATTTCAGAGATTAACCGGAACAAACAGACAGACAGACAAAAATTGTAAAAAATGTTATTTTGGTGTATGTACAAGTATTTATATTCATATGTATATAGTAAAAAACGATTATTTCAATATTAAAACAGACACTCCAATTTTATTTATGTATATGTAGATGCTTTCCCACGCGAGGATTGCGAGGAATCTGAGGACGGTTGGAAACCGCGAATGTAATGCGATAGTGCAAGAGCAAGTTGATTTGAAAGGAAATCTTAAGGGAGGGCACGGTACGCTGGTTCTGGAGTTGAATGAAAGAATAATGCAGTAATAATGCAGGTGCCGGGGAAAGTCTAGGTAGTCTAGGCATCATAAATATTTATAGTAGTTGCTTTCCAAGTTAAATTTTCGGCGAACACATAAAATATAGAACTTATTTTTGCGGGACCAATGGTTACAGTTGACAGATATTTTTTTTTTATTTATTTAGGACAAACATAGTAATAAATTATATTATATATGTATACAATATGTGATAAGATGGAAGATAAATGTATCACCAACGACGTTAATCACAGTTTACTATAGACAATACATATAAACATGCTAATTTGTTTACGAGTAGTGCTGAATTTTATATGAAGTTACAAATATGAACTTAAAATGCAACTTATTAATGGATATAAAGAAAGCGTAAAATGAAATAAAATATAATAATAAAAAATAGGAATTACGAATAAAAATTAATTAATATATATTAAGTTAAATGGGTTATAACAAAGTCTGACCAACCATCTTTTTAAATAATGCAAGGTTAAACGTATAGACAACTAGCTTTTGCCCGCGACTTCGCTCGCGTTAATTTATCCCCTCAGGGGTGGAATTTATCAAAATCCTTTCTTAGGGGGATGCCTACGTCACAGTAGCTTTATGCATGCAAAGTCTCAGCCCGATCGGTTTAAAATTGACAAAGTTTCATACAAACTTTCATCCCCTATTTTATCCCTTTGGGGGTAGAATGAATCAAAATCCTTTCTTAGCAGATGCCTACGTCATAACATCTACCTGCATGTTAAATTTCAGCCCGATCCGTCCTGTGCGTGGATAGATCACTACGTCAGTCACCTTTGAGTTATATATATTTAGATGTATACTAGTATAGTATGTATAGTATTCTTTTTTTATTGCCTAAAACTATCCCAAGGGAGCGAAGTGGAGAAAAGAAAATGCTTATTAACCTTCATACTACGCGGCGAAGTGACCAGTATAGCATAAGTTCAATATAAAGTTTTCATATTTCTACTTTGTTTTTGGTGAAAATTCAATTTCATCAGCGGCTTATTGTTTTTTTCTTTTTTCAGTTTCAGCTTCTCTATGACTAGCCTTTATGCAATTTCCTAACTGAATCCCACTACCCATAACACTATACTTATTTCGTTAAGTATATTATTTTGCATTCAAGTCTATTCAACAGATTCCATTTTTACGTGAATGTACGTAAATTGCCAATTTAATTTTAAATTCTGCCTGTACAAATTGATTTTGTTCCCGACGACGTCAAATTGTTTCTAGATTGTTTTCGCTACCACAGCAGGGATTATGAAACTTATTTATTTAGAAATTCTTCGATATTAGATTCATGAAGAAATATTTTTGAGAAAACAGATTTCGAGCGAATCGAACATTGATTACGAAGCTTAGGTCTTATCTCTTATTATTATCTGTCGTCAGGTGTATTAATACACTTCGAGATTAAATTTTGAATGTTTAGCCTAAGAAATATTATTAAATAGATAAATTATCTGTCTAGTTTAGGGTCGGCAACGCGCACGTGACACCCCTAGTGTCTCAGGCGTCTATAGCATATGATAGCCGTATGCTTGTTTGCCATTATCGTAGTATAATAAAAAATTATATTGCAACTTATAGTATAATTTAGTCGAGGCCATTACGCGATTTTTATTACATTTCGGACTTAAAACATTCATTCTAACTACAGCGAAAAACGGGATGTTGCGTCAAATACACCTAGGTAGTTATTTTTATCTAGACAAACGTACACAACATTCTGGTTTGGAAAATAATAAACGATCCGATTCTCACCAGTAGTTGATCAATATTATTGAATTAGTTAGTGTTCAAGTTTGTAATTTTTTATTAGAGCTATTCCTAATTTTTATATTTAAGGTCCGTTTAATTGTTGTCACGATAAACATTTAAACGGCTTCCTAATAATTTTTTTTTTTCAAATTTATAAGTAGTCAGAATATAAAGGTTAAATACAACCACTAAACAATAAATAAATGTTATTAAATTGACAACTACAATCTCTGATATATCTTTCAGATCTCAATCATAAACGGGACTCGGATAGCGACTTGAAGGACTTCCTCAGTGAAACGAATATATGGATACTATTGAATACTTGTTCTATTATGGATAAAGGAACAAATGAGTTTATCGACTGAGTCGACAACTGCGTATATTTTCATGTTGATATACTACAGATATTAGACAGCCATGCTGTCTTACATGGTGCCAGTGGAGGAGAAACCTCCTCCAGTGCCGGGGAAGGGTCGACTCGCTTTGGAATTAGTGGGGAGCCCTGGCAGTCCAGAGTCGGCTGCGAGAAGAGCCCGCAACAATATTTCCAAAGAATCATCGACGAGCTCGTTCGCCAGCGATCTTACGATATCTTCGTCGACTCCTACTGGAGCACTCGACAAACCAAAACACAAGCTACTTAGCAATGGAACCAAACATACCACGCTGAAGAGGTAAGCTTTAATTTTTTTATATAATTCTAACGGTAGTTGCAATATTGTTTTAGTACTAGATGCTACGAGTCGCTTACGTTCTGGAATGTTCTCTACGAAAAGTCAGTACATTCTACTAATAACATTGAGCAATCCAATGCTACGAGTCTTGAGTATGCATCTGCTGTCGAAGAGTCAGTACATTCTGGAATGTTCATTGTATTACATATATTCTGTATTCGACACACGACAGTTGCAATTCTACATTACGTATTGGCAAGATATTTGTTGTTTTCAGTTATTTGAAAAATAGGAATAAATGAATAATAGAATTTTATAGTTTGTACAGTAACAAATAACTTTGTGAAAACAATATAAAATATGTAGATTTTCTTAGGCCATCACATTATCACTTCATCATTGGTTCCTCGTTTCGAATTATAGTAAAATGTTCATGCATGGAATTCAAATATCACATATATATTCATTCATTCAATAAAAAAAGAACAATGGCGATCGTTACGTTCAACCAAAATTGCTTATTGTATGACTGCAATCGGAAAATTTATTTCACTCGAAAACTAAATATACCGGTTTGTATTGTAATTTAAATACTGAATATATAATTAATTTGTATAATATAATAGTAACGTTTTGTTTGATGCGTTACATATGAATGTTAGATATGAAAAAAGAGATGGATGGACTGTGAAAGATGATATGGTAAGAAAGAGAGTAAATAACGAGATGACTGCAAACAGAGATGAATGCTAGAGAAAAGTATATTACGACGACCATAAATAAATGGTAAAGGAAGAAGCAGATGATGATAAAGCAATGTTATGTCTGGTGTACAACAATATTAAATGAACCAAACATTATTCACTGAAGCAGCAATCATAACAACGTTTGATAATTGTGCAGTCAATTTGCTTGTAACCACATGTAGTTAAATGTTCGCAAATTGTTTCTAATTTAATATTTATTAAATTGACATTCACAAAGTTATACAATGCCATCACAACCCCAGCTATAAATTAAAGGTCAAACATACAACTATTTCGAAATATACATATTGACGCAAGAAGTCTTTATAAATATAATAATTATGACATTGTGAATTTGTGACCTAATTCATCCGATTTGGATGTAGTTTTACATGCATAGATCAATGGGTGAATGATTTTGGAAACACAATTGGACTCCATAGCGGCGTCGACAGTGTCTGCTAGTATATGTATATAATACTAATTGTACCCGCGGTTTCACCTGCGTTAAATTTTAGTATATAAATTTCTATAAATAATATAGCCTATATGATATTTTGATGCCTCAGTTATCTTAATGTAAAGTTTCATCAAAGTCCGTTCAGTAGTTTTTGCCTGAAAGAGTAACAAATACTTACAAACTGTCGTATTTTTAATATTATTATAAAAAGATTAAGTACTTACTTTTGACATAAACAACTATATTGTTTGTGTGGATAATGTGACCAATATAAGTATTAGTGTACTTGTTGTTACGGTTTGTTCTATATGATACTTCCAAACTCTTGTAGGAACTTATGATTTAGTTCTCAACAAACATTATACTGTTCAATAGCAGTATTATTATAAGTTTTAAAATATAATGCCTTTTTAATTGTTATATTTTATACTCTAGAGCATCTATACAAAATATAATTATTAAATATTCTTACTTGTTATATTTTATATTTAATAGTAGACAAATTTAATTAATAAAAATAGTCTTAACTTTTCTGATGTCGTTGATAATGTACACGATGCCCTTAGTATGACTTCTGAGATAGCAATCTCAAGTGACACTTGGTAATTAAAATCATGACGTTCTCTGACTAATAGTTTGAGAAAGAGTATGACTTCACCAGACCTTTCACACCCAGAGTATGACTTCTGAGATAGCAATCTCAAGTGACACTTGGTAATTAAAATCATGACGTTCTCTGACTAATAGTTCGAGAAAGAGTATGACTTCACCAGACCTTTCATACCCAGAGTATGACTTCTGAGATAGCAATCTCAAGTGACACTTGGTAATTAAAATCATGACGTTCTCTGACTAATAGTTCGAGAAAGAGTATGACTTCACCAGACCTTTCATACCCAGAGTATGACTTCTGAGATAGCAATCTCAAGTGACACTTGGTAATTAAAATCATGACGTTCTCTGACTAATAGTTCGAGAAAGAGTATGACTTCACCAGACCTTTCATACCCAGAGTATGACTTCTGAGATAGCAATCTCAAGTGACACTTGGTAATTAAAATCATGACGTTCTCTGACTAATAGTTTGAGAAAATCTAAACGTCTAAGTTTGAGATCACTGATCATCGTAGACCACACTCTAACAAAATAGATCTCTTCATATGAGATAGATAGTTGATGAACAATTTATTTAACCCTAGCTGTACACGCGACTTCGTCTCCGTGAAATTTAACTTTAATTTTCTAAAATAAAAGTAGCCTAAGTTACTCCCTATTATATCAGCTACTTGCCAATAAAAGTCCCGTTAAAATCGGTTCAGCCATTTCAGAGATTAGCCGGAACAAACAGACAGACAGACAAAAATTGTAAAATATAATATTTTGGTGTATCTACCGTATGTATATCCATATGCATCTAGTAAAAAACGGTTATTTCAATATTACAAACAGACACTCCAATTTTATTTATATATATAGATATAATATAGGTTTAAAGACTAATGCACGCCAGTTATACATTTGTGTTTTTAACAATATACCTTATTTTAATCATAAAAGGGTACTAATTCAATCTAAGTGTAATTATAACAACTAATCGAAAAAAAAATCTTAAAAAGTGTTTCGACAATGAGATCACCTTGAATTATAATTACTATTGATATTAATAACGTGCCAAAAAACTTTTAGGATACGATTTACTTCCTCATCGCAGGTCACATAACAAAATAAATAAATAACCCTGGACAATTAACACGGCGTGGCGCCATCTAGTCCGATGGTAAGCAGAGCTTGTGTTATGGGTACTAGACAACTGATATAAATCTTAAATATTTTTTTGTAAATACTAATATAGATAGAAAACGTCCAGACCAATACAAACATGAATACAAATATTTTCACCATTGGAGGAATCGAACCCGTGACCATCAGAAGTAAATCGGTGTGCTAAACCGCTACACAACAGAGGCCATTAAAATGTTTCATAATATTGTGAAACATATGAGAATATCAAAGAATATAACTGCAGTGAACAAATAGAAAGAATGGAATGAAAACTCAAGTAAAACTTTATATAAAATGTGATACAATAGAAGTGTTTAACAGTTTATATAAAAATTGTTACAATAGACGTATTTAACAATTTATATAAAATTTTTACAATAGAAGTATTTAACAATTTGTAGAAAAATTGTTACAATAGAAGTGTTTAACAGTTATAACCTATTTGTTACCAACGTAATCCTTATTATCCCAAGTGTCTGGAAGTTTTACTGGAATTTTCGAGAGCCACGATGTATATATTTCAAGTTGACAGTCAGACCTGGAAATAATGACACAATTGTTATTTATAGATTGTTTAGTTAGGTAGTTATATCAATGCATATAACTATCTTTAGGTACAGTCTGTTTCATTCAGAACGTACCGTAAAAATGGTCAGTATTACAATATCTTCGTAATTAGAATCACAATTTTGAATGACCGTAACATTTATGCATTCATTATTTAGAATTCCTACAGATTGTAAGGGCAATAAAATATCGATTCAATATGAATATTTTATTGAGTAAAAATTTGCTTTAACTGTTGTTCTTAGTTTACGATAATCTTTTTTAACTTCTAATTAAGTACTAAAACCGTGCCGAGGTCATCTTTTTGTATGTATACACATATGGTTTCAAGAGAAATAACTGGAGGAACTAGGAATGTTGATAAATGTATCAACATATGTTTTATATAATTAAATCTTAGAAAAATATCTGCATTTTTCTTGTTAGTTTTTAATACACCATGCGTTTGTTGTTTAGTAAATTAATAAAGTACCTAATATTTATTAGATTTAAATGATTTATTATATATATTGTTTGATTATCAATAGATATTCTATATAAATGTACACACAAATGAAATGGCGGCCATCACTGTGTATGAATGAAAATACAGAATATCAACACTACCTACGTTTCATTTAAAATTAAGTTAGATATATTTTGAACTTTTTTTTCAATGTTAAATAATAAGTTTTATTATTATTGTTGGCGACCGACCGCATCGAGCTCCCTTGAAAACATTATTATTTTTAAATTTATATTTTTAAAACTGTTTATCACTTTTACGTCATGTTATTTGATATACTTCATTATTGCTACATTGTGTATTCGATATTTCTATTTTTCTATGATATTCTACGTGATTTAATCATTTAGACACCTATACAGTCCACCGATCCGTTACAATTATTGAGAAACTATAAACTGATATTCAAGAAGCCAACTGTACATACTGATTACTAATGAACCCGTTGACATCTGTGCTACAAGAAATTAGACGTGTTTTTGCGACAATGGTCATGTCAGAGTACATTATATGATAACTTATCGTGTGAATGTCACCTATGAATAGAGGGTATGACAATTAATTCATTATCTATTATAAAAAGAGAATTGCAACGGATTGACATATCAACACGCACATATAACCAGAACGACGATTTTTTCTTATGTGACATTATTATCTAAGCCATGAGTAAAGTAATCCAAAGTGCTATAAATTTGTAGATGTTGGTAGTTTGTAAATGATAATGTTTTTGTAGAAATAATAATATATGTAAAAAACTTAAAATTCATAGCGCTTACAATATTATCTAATTGCACTAGGAATGAGTGCGTAGTGGTTTTTATGTTAATTTTCGCAAACCTCTTATTTGTTGTAATGTAATTATTTATTTAAAATAACATTTATTCAAAACAGCATCACATAATGTTCATTCTTCATGCGATGAGTCTGCGTTCCGAAAGTGTGGTAGAATAAAAAAATATGACTATCCAAAGGTGCTTGTATTGAGTTTATTTGAATAAAGAATATTTCTATTTCTATTCCATAAGAAAATGTTTTTGTATTTTTTTATGTAAACGGTTGGTATTGAGTATTATGAAGACTCGGCAAATCTCTATTAATTTCCAAAGTAGTTCAAAGCTTGCATAATAATTAGGTACATTTTACATTTTTATAGACCAAGTTTTTAATAAGAGAGGAATACGACAAAACCGTCCTTTCTGTGTTATGTGGGTCATGTTTTCAAGGAACTTCAAAGACCTTTTTATGGGACACCTTTCATAGACTCTGAGACTATTCTCTTATGTTGGCGTTATGAATAACCCTTTTGAACATCTGTATTGCTCGTGGAATATGACTAGAATTGCCATATATGTACTTATTTAACAGATTTACTATTATATTGACGGTCTTGGTGGTTTAGTGGTTTAGCACACTTTTACCTACGATTGTCGCGACTTCAATTCCTCGCACGGTGCAAACATTTGTATTCATGGGTATGATTGTTTGTATCGGTCTGGGTGTTTTCTAAGTATATTATTTATGTATTTATATCAGTTGTCTAGTACATATAACACAAGCTCTGCTTACCGTGGGGCTAGATGGCACTGTGTTAATTGTCCAGGGTTATTTATTATTATTTATTGTATAGGTACCCACAGTTAGTGAAGTGTTGTGTCATTTTTAATTAGCTTTACAAACTTGGTAGAGAGCCATCCAATAATTCCTGTAGATGTCACAGGCACTGGCTTCAGAGTCTTCGTTGTTTCCAATTTACTTATAACCTGCGGCAGAATATCGGCACTTTCTCTCCGAATTTTGTCCGACTCGGCGATCGTTTGTCTGGAAGTGTAGATATAGCGATGATATAGTTTTCTTCTTCAAGGTAACGTGAGTGTTACGCGGTCGATAACAGGCGAACTGATATCGTTGTTGCTTGGAGTGGTTTGTCGTAAACCTAAAGAGCAAGCCATACCTATTCGTGGTAATAAACTGAGAGATCAATATAGAATTACAGCAAACTGCGCTAAATTATATTAATAATAATAATCAGAGGACAATTGAGCAGCGTCATCTAGTCCCAAGTTAAGCTAGTTAAAACTTATGTTAAGGGTACTAGATAACTGATATTTCGTAAACATACATAATATGTATAGAAAACACCCAAACTAATACAAACAATCATACTCATGAATGCAAATGTTTTTGCTGTGCGAGGAATCGAACCCACGACGATCGGAAGTAAGACCTAAACGTAAACCGCTAGACCATTGAGACCGTCATCTTATTGTTGGATAGTAGAGTCATTTTGAGACTCTTCTATAATTAAACATTTTTTATAAGCACTTATTTCGAAAGTATAATCCACACAATTTTCTATGGCGATTTTACCGGTCAAATGCGTCGATGTTCGTGAACAAGAAACGATCGGGTTTAACATTTGTTTCGCATGAAATGTTAGCGTTCACGACAAATTTAATTTCCGTGACGAATTTATGCTTTTGGTTACTTTGATGCTGTGACTAGACTGGAATGCTACTGCGGTAGAGATACTATTTAATAGGAGGAAGGAAAGACAAGTTAATTGTCTAAGATAGTTACGACACTAGTGCAAAGTTTTTGAAGATCTTGCTCTCTGATTTTGAAGATTTTAATCTCTGTACCTGAGTAAACCTCTATAAACTTTGTAGTTTAATATACCTATTTGCGTAAAGTTTTTGAAGATCTTGCTCTCTGACCTTGAAGATCTTCATCTCTGTACTTGAGTAAACCTCTATAAACTTAGTAGTTACTTGTAATTTAATATACCAATTAGTGTAAAGTTTTTAAACATCTGCTATGTACCTGAATAAACCTGTACACACTTTGTAGTTACTTGTAGTTTAATATACCTACTTGAGTCAAGTTTTTAAAGATCTTGTACTGATTGAACATGCAAGGTATACCTGAAATTGTGTAATCTTAGTACACTGTGTAATATTGTTACAATGTTCAAGATAACTTTATCAAGAAAGTGTTGAGGATTCTAGTTTTTAATATCGCGTAATTGTGCGCTCGTATTTATTCAGATTACATCATCCATTCCTATTAATAATAAATTAGTATTTTAAATCCGATACAATACTTATTGTTAAGAATTAATAAATAAATATTTGAAGCATCTCTAGTTTCTTTATATAGATAGTTTCTTCTATATAACTTAGAGATCTTCTAAAACGACGTTAATTACATTCTCTCATCCAAAAGCCAGCTCCATTGATCAAACCACTGCTTTCGGCATATATCCACCTTTTTCCACTGTGCCCGCATTTGAAATGCTTCTGTATTGAGATCAAGTTTTGGTACATATTCCTTCGCCATTTTATGTTTTCCTGAGAACAAAAGAAAGCTATAAATTTTTTTTTTATATTATATTATTGCTGCTAAGGTATTTGTTTCTTTTTTAACGTCTAGTCAGTATTATATGAATGTGTAATATCAGTGTGATAAGGTATTTTAAGAATAATAATCTCAGGACAATTCACACAAAGCTTGTGTTATGGGTACTAGATAACTGATACAAATACATATATTTTTTTCGTAAATACATACATAGAAAAAATCCAGACCGATACAAGCAATCACATTCATGAATTCAAAAGCTTGGGCTGTGCGAGGAATCGAACCTATCGGAAGTAAGGGGTGTGCTAAACTGCTAGACCACCAAAGTCTTCAAATAAATACACATAATTTGAAACTAACTGCAATTTTAGTCAAACACGGATGTTGATCACAAACTTGGATTTAAAGAAAAGTCATAGAGATTGATACAGAATTGTAATAGAACAAGTATAGATAACATTCAGATAGGTATGTTATAGCATCGGTTATACTTAAACTGGGGCAGACGTTATCAAGAATGCTAAGTAGCTTCCTACCAGCTACGGTATCGCTCAGTAAAACTACGTGACCATGCTAACTGCCTAACACCTTAGAACACCAAAAGTGGGCCAACTAGAAAGTATATCAGTGCTTTAATAATACAGCTACAAGATTTTCGGATTGACGCCTAAATCGTGAGTAAGGATTGTATAGGTCAATGGATATTGGATATCTAGAGACGGTCAGATCACGACATCTACTTTTAAATAATTCTGATTGTTATCTAAATAAATACGGCTCGAACATCTTGACGCAGACATAAGGTGCTGTGTAATAAATGTGTTTTCGCTTTTTCATCTACAAATTATATTTTTTTATTTCATTATCATCATAGGGCTCTATTATGATTTAGGCTATTCATTTTTTCAGAATTACGTTATAATATATAATAACAATGTCATAATAAAATGCTAGGTGTTTGCAGTTCACTAATCTTATTTTCTATTACGATTTGATATCAATAAAATGTATAAATTAAAAAAACTTAGGTAAGTTTAAACTTAGGTAGGAGAAGTACGGCGAACAAATGGTAGATAGTTACAATATATGGATCCCTTTTAAGTTTTTGGTTAGAAATTAGCTATAAATCCGATTGTAAATTGAATTAAAATAAATGACTGTACATACAAAACGCTAATCAATGTAGATCACTGGTTCCCAATTAGTTTTTGCTGCGTACCACTTCAAAAAATAACTCAAACCTTGCGTACCCCTTATATAAAAAATATAATATAATAAATGTGAAAGTTTTTGAGTGTATGTGTGTTTGTTTAACTGATAGCCGCACGTACCCTTTGATGCAACTTCACGTACCCCTGGGGGTACGCGTACCACTAATTGGGAAACACCGATGTAAATGAAAATTGGTAGAGCTGTTTACAAAGCATAATCTGTAAAACAAAAGTCATGCCTTTATATAATAAGGTTGATAGAAATCAAACATTATGAGTAACGCCATGATTTTCGTTATATCGAAAGTTTTAATATTTTTGCAATAGTATACCCAAAAGGAAGGTCCAAGAGAGAATAATCATATGTTGTATACATTGCTTTGATACGAGTATTCTAATATCAGATGATATTTTAATAATCTTATTTATTACATAACACCAAGTCTCTGCATATTTTTTTATTTGTTCACTATCCATTTTTTGCTATTATGCGCTACATTATAATAATAGAATTTACCCCACAATATAACATTATTATGAAATAGGGCATAACAGGTTTTCTCAGAAAAAAAAACTACAGAAGCTTAACCTTTTAGATCTATGTATTATGGGTATAAATATTCCGAGATATAAAAGGTCTCTATATTTATGTATGTACCTATATGTCTGACTATATCATCTTTTATCTTGTTTTGGAATGCTAATGGATTCATACGATATCGAAATCTATTGACTAAGGCGTAAATACTAAAGTGACATATACTTGTTTTAAATACACAAATAATTATACTACAAATATCCCTAATAAAATAAACTTAATATCCGCACTTTTGAATAGTCACAATTTTTTAATCTACCACTCATTCGGAATACACATTAACAATAAGCGGTCTAGCACACCGCATTACGTATGACGGTCGCGGGTTCGATTCCTCGCACAGCACAAACATTTGTATTCATGAGTATGATTGTTTGTGTCGTTCTGGGTATTTTCTATGTATAATATGTATGTATTTAACAACCCGTAACACAAGCCTTAGCTAGCTTATCTTGGGCTTAGATGGCGCTGTGTGAATTGTCCTGAGATTATTATTATTATTATTAACAAGAATTAGGCATGTGACAATCAACATAGAAACCGCTAGGCGCTCAATCTTTGTTCAATCAGATGACATTGTCAGTTGATGATGCTATGAATTTTACTTAGATTATTTCTACAAAAACATTATTATCATTTATAAACTCTTCAATTTTATAATAAAATGTTTTAAATCTGGGTATTATATCGAAACTGGATTATCTATTTTAATATAGGGAAATATATATGTCGTTATGTATTGTTGTCTGTTGTTTTTTAAACTTAATAGATATGTATTCCGTAAAATAGTTAAAGTATTTTTTTAAATGAACAGGCGCCTAACTTAAGCTAACGTTTACTTTCACTTGATCTTTATTATATCTGTAAAAGTGTGACCTCGTAAGTGTAATATTCTCTTTTAAGCCATTAAACCTTGACATTTATATTATACGGTGTACTTACTTGCGAATACTAAGTAGGTATTATCAACCTTTCTATACATGTAAATGATTTTTAACAACATTATTATTATTGTAATTAGTATAAAGTTCATTTAAATATAATAAACACAAGTGCTGCATAAAATGAAATTATAATTGTTTATTTGATGGTAAGTATTGCATCAACTGGATAAAAAATATATTTTTATAGCTATGAATATGAAGCGGACGTGACAGAATTATAAAACTCAAGGAAAATTTATCAACAGGTACAAAATTGCGTAAATCATTATAAATATAATGTATACATAGTATAAAACAAAGTCGCTGTCGCTGTCTGTCTGTATTATTAAATGTTTAAAACTGCGCAACGGATTTTAATTCGTTTTTTTTTAAAAGACAGAACACAACGGATCATGATTCCTTTTTTTAAAAAGACAGAGTGATTCAAGAGGAAGGTTTATATATATAAATAAATAATACATGTACATGTAGTGTACAATAAATAGCCCAATCTATAATAGATATATTCTAAACACAATATAACCAGATAGACAACTCTATGAATTCTACCAAATGAGATAGTACAATTTAAAAAACGATTTGTAAAATGGGGCTAAGGGCTATTAAACTACTATTAGTATACCTAGTGAGGTATAAATGTAGACATGTATGTTTTTGGATTAATTATCAGTCTATATATAAATAAATTGATGACTAAAAAGCATAAAAAACAAACACCTCAGGTTCTAGTGCTATTTAAGTTTCAAGTAATAATTACTTATCCATAATAATTTGATATCAAAAAGCATAAAAGAACAAATACCTCAGTTAGACATATGCATAATAATTAGAAACTTTAAAAAAACCTGAAAAAAAATCTTGGTACAAAAAAACTATCATAATCACATCCATTCATTTAGAAGCTACGATGTCACAGACAGACGTACACAGATACGTCAAACTTATTAAGACACTCCTCTTTCACCGTCTGTGTTTAAAAATAGTATTAAAATACGTAAATAATAGTATTGAGAAAGAAATTTTGATTATAGGGAAAGGAATGAAAAAATTAAGTGTTTAAAATACGTTTTTTTTTTTAAATAACTCGATAACCGTGAGAAATATGAAAAAATGTTTTAAAGAAAGGTTGTAGAGAAAACAATTCTACATAAAACACGCTCTTATTTTTTATTATCTGATGTTGTTTAGCCACAAAATTAAAAAAAAACTAATTACCTAAAACTAACAGCTGAACGATCGTATCTGTGTGATGCACGCGCTGCTTTGTACAGGGCTTTTACTTACATTTAACTAGTTTTTTCAGTTGATAACGAGCCAAATTAGTTTTTAATTTTGTAGGTAAACAACACCAGATAATGAAAAAATGAAAAGGACTTGTTTTGTGCAGATTTTTTGTTTTACAACTTTTATTTGAAACAGTTTGTCAAATTTCCTATCGATGACGAGTTATATTGAAAAAAGAGGTTTTCGGCCCTATTTCAAAATCTTTCTGAATATTATTATTCATGTATTTGCAAACTTAGTTTTATATATTGCACCAAAACAATTTAAATCAAAATTATCTTGGACTATTATATAAAAAACAAACGTAATAGAAATACCTACTCGCTACTACGGTCGTAAAAAGTATCTAGTAATTTCAGTTATATAGGCATTTAGTATGACACCAAATTGCGTTTCCGGTGATCACACTCCTCGCGTAACCAGGTCAAGGTTTGTTGATCCATTAGCTTTAATAATTTACCTACTTTCATATAATAGAGTTATATTATTATACGTAACGACCGACATCTGTGGTATAATATCTTTCCCATATTTTGAATACTAGCTGTACCTACCCGCGACTTCGTCCAAGTAAAACAGTGACCAAGTAATGAAGAATTGTTTAATTCTACAGCTCAATCAACAGCCTAAAAAATAAGTTTCAAGCTTTTAGCTTTAAAAATGACGATACTTTCATACGATCTTGCATCTCTCCTTTCAACTCATTTGTAGTATTTAAAAATAGTCTATATACTTTATCAGGGTCTAGACTCTCTGTGTACCAAATTTTATTTAAATAGGTACAGTAGGTTTCGTTTGAAAGCGAGACAGATAGACAGACTTACTTTCGCATTTATAATACAAGTTTAGTTGTTGGATTTTTTGAGCGATACAAAAAAGCAAAAGGTCTACAAGGCGCTAAGCTAATTCCTATACTCAGACGACAAATAGTAAGCAGTACAGTCAATGTTATTATAAAGATACTATTAAATATTCTATGTCTAGAAGAAGTAGTTACTTGACATGTAGTTTCTTTAATGAATGTACGTAATGTGGATGACGATTATGTGTAGAATTCAGAAGGAATTCAGAGGTAGAACGGACCACGTGGAAGCGAAAATTTTTACGGATTAGCCTAGAACATATAGTAACCACAGTACTATAACGCACACATTGTAATCAGAATTAATTGTAGAACAAGTTTTAGAAATAATTTACAAACCAATAGATATTTGTGATGACCTCCTACAAAAACATAAACAAACGATTGGATGCCGACGTAACTAAAACAGTCCGTGATCTCACCAGATCTCACTTTAAAGATGAATTAAAAATAACCCATTTAGTAATGGTTAAGTCATTCAATGACAAATAAAATACTTGCGAGAAAATGAAGTCGGTAGCAAAAAGTTTATAAGTATGTATTAAATTAATGACCTTGTGCAATATTCCGTCGTTGGCAGTATTTGAAATAAGAACGTTTTAAATGCTATTCATAATCTAGTCTAGAATAATATAAAAGAAACTCTGCAAAGTTTGCTTTCAGGCAATTTACTCCTCCTATACAGCGTCGTTGAGAGGAATGACCTCCATTTCCAAATGCCCCTCGGCCCGCCAAAACAAACAAGACATTGTCACTGTCAAGGAAATGTCAGTGTGCGCTCGTCAAATCGCGAGGTTGGCTTTGTGTTCAATAAAATATCAATCTTAACATAATAATAGTGACTTTTATCTCGATAGACGATGGCAGTGTCCTGAGCAATGCCATTTTAAAAACTGCAAGTTCAGTATACCTACTTCATGCTAAACCGTTTACACGATTTTCTCGATTACGTCATGAGACTCTAGTAATAATAATTAAATTGGAGTTTATTTGAATATAGAATGGAAGGTAGGTAATTGTTAGTAGGTAATAGGGAATAGTGGACCAGTTACTAATTATGTACCTTGTCAGGTGGACTACCACGCAGGCCCAGAAAATTTACGTGTACCTATAATTAGGTCGTCTACCATTCCATATTTAAAATTTGGAATGATATATCACTAGCTGTAGGTAGGTATATGCTGGCGGGCCCCCGTAAAGAACGATAGGCTAAACAATATGGCCAGTTCATCATGAATTCCCATGGATTATATCCAATACTCTCCTACCTTCGGCCCCATAAAAGAGAAATTTTGTTTGATAATGGAATGTTGACCCGCCTGCTTTATACGCTGATGGGGCACCAGTAAAGGATGGCAATAGATGAAAACATAAAGTCAGAGTAGCATATCGTGGAGAATTCAACAGGAATCAACCACGATGGTTTCCAAGGGGACCGCGTGAAGTTCAAATTGACATGGTGCTGGTATTGGAGCTGCTATCCCTATTATTAATAATCCCCTCTCCTACGAAAGCGAGTTTCTTATTTTATTATCTTTTAACATCTTGATTAATAAGATGGAATTTTCTGTACAGCTTGTAGATGTTTTTGGATAGACAATACTCTACCTACTTTTTATTGGAACTGATTTGATTGAAGCATCTTTGATAGCAGGATATAGCAATTCCTTTGCGTGCGTTTGTGTATTGTAGTGGAGTGATTGTAGAATGATTTTGTTATCTATCACAGATTAACAAATTTCTTTCTAACGTCTTGTTACTTTTTTCTTAACAAAGGTCATTTTTTAATTTCTTACGCGAAGTAGCTAGTGATATAGAAAGAAATGCAAAAGTAGTAAGCAGTATTACAGTTATATAATATTAGTATAATATTGTAGACTATGTAATGGTAAGAATTATTAGGTACGTCTTGATATTTAGTATACTAGATAGATCTGACAGATTTTTTAAAATAATCGTTACTGATATTCACCTTGTTAGGATATAATACATATCTAGTAGGTATGTAACATTTTGCCATATCTTGAGAGCTTTAGCTCTACAAATATAAACAAGTTTTACTTTTTAGAAACTCATCCCATGACAAATATGTACGTAACTATATGGAAGTGATAAACAGCTATGATTTTAAAACTATAATGAGTAGCTGTATGATATCTCCGCGCGCAAATATAAAATTCAACTAGTAATGTTCATATATATTAAAATTATTATAATATGCAATCTATTTATGAAATGTATAATTACTTTGCCTCAGCCTAATCTAACAAATACAGGGTTATAAATAGTATTTTTTATTGGTTTGTATGGGCTATTGTCAGGTGCTTGGACCTGTAGCACTGCGACCTACATAGATCTATTGTGCTCGCCCTGTTTCACAGTACGCTACCTAGACTCGTCAGGGATAAGAATTGAAGGATATATTCTTTGGAGCGGTGGTTTTTATCTCTTCAGAATAGAGTGTATACTTTCCAAAGGAGAATGAATGCTCTACAACCACATACATAGGATGTGTAGCGGCGTTTCCTCTTCAGTTTGGTATAATCTGCAGATTTTTGTTGTGCACAGGCCTAGTTTGCCATGTTTGTTCATAAATAGTAGTTAGTAATTTATAAACCAGGTAGAACAGTTAAGGAACCTAACTGCTTATATAAATAAATAAAGTGGAATTTTTAAAATAAAGTAGTCTGAATATGAGGCCATATATGGACCGGCCACCGGCTTTTCTCAAAGAACCTTCGTTGCAGTGAGTCAATGGTCACCAGTCAGCGGATGCCAAGCCTAACCTCTTTAGGGGGCCGTCAGCTGCTTGCAATGAGGCGAGTGCACTTACTTACTACTTAGTCCGGCCGCTCAGAGTTTGCATTTCTGAAAATAAATTGTTTTTGTAGTGCTGTGACTAAATAACCTTAAAAGAGCGCAGTTTGATGTGGTTTTACTTTTAAAAACTATTGTTTTTATATTTGTTAATAGTTAATATTTTATTATTATATTTTAGCCCACAATGAATACGTCTAGTGTAAATTTTAATAATTATTATATTTTTAATGAGTTATAAACTCGTTAATAGGGTACATAAAAGATATTTAAAATTTTTCCGTAATTTGTACGTTGGTTCAAAGTTACATCGCCCTTTCGATCCCAACCTGTCAGAAACGTAAACTCTGAGCGGCTGGACAGTATGTATTTACGAGAGCCATTTCTCAGTTTTTTCCTAGTTTCTAGTCTCATTTTGCAAGCTCATCACTTCAATAAATATTCTATGTGAAAGTAGAGGAAGGAGAAGTTATTTTAGGTACGATAATAACTTTCATACCTTAGGTATAGAAATACCTACCTGAAAGTTGATTAAAAATCTGTTAAGTATTTATTAACAATAAAAATTATCTTTTCCATTCATAATATTAATTTAGAATTGAAATAACAGTACATAAATTTAAGAATAATACATCAATAAGCATTAAGAAACATGCCTACACATTGCTGTGTATCATTTGATAATCTGATTCTGCGATAAAGGCGATAAAACTCTTGCTTTTATGAATACAAGTTCAATGTAAGAACTGAATTATGTAACAATTTAACTGTAGAACAAAATTATATACACCAGCGTGAAGGTCGTATTGTGTTTGTTCGGTTTAGCTACACAGCAGTAGGTATAGACTTAATTGCGTATTTGGAATATTATTATTTACTGCGTACACATAGATTAACTATGTTCAGTATTTGGTCATATGGTGTTTTCTTTTTATTAATGACCAGCACCCCGCGCAAGTTCGTCTGCGTCACAGTTCCTTGACGTTTATCATTATATTTCTCCCAATTTACTTAATATCCTTTTAAATTATATCCTAAAACATAGGATATAATTTAAAAGGATTTCTGAGATATAAGCTATATACCTGCCAAATTTGATTAAAATCTGTTCGGTTGTCTTTGCACAAATATCCTTTGTGTAACCAACTTGTACTGTTTTACTCTTCACAGCAGTAGGTAGCTTAAATTGCGTATTTGGATTTCATATATATATATATATATATATATATATTATTAGGTTGTTGGGAAAGTAATTTCGTTTTTTCCTAACTTAGGATTTCATTGTATTTTTTGCACTCAACTTCACACTTAAGCCGTATAATTTTTATATGCTTTGAAAGCTCATATAACAAGGCTTGTTTCTGAAAAATTCCAATGAATTCTACGCAGTAGTTTTTGGTTGGTGCCCTTTTAAATATGGAGAGCCATAAGCAGCATTTTCGACATATCTTACTGTATTACTGTTTTGTTAAATTTGATAAATTTAATCTCAATCCGAACTCACGTGTTATGTTATTCGCCGGTTCGCATCAATCAATAAATATTTTACTGCCTACACATAGATTAACTATGTTCAGTACTTGGTCATATAGTGTTTTCTTTTTATTAATGTCCAGCACCCCGCGCAACTTCCTCTGCATCACACTTTCTTGACGTTGAATTTACATAATATCTTTTTAAATTATAGCCTAGGTGTTATTCTGAGATATAAACTATATTACTGTCAAGTTTCATTAATATCTGTCGGGTAGTTTTTGCGTGAAAGAGTAAGAAACATCCATCAATACTCACAAATTTTCGCGTTTATAATATTAATTAATAATAATAAGATATAGGTATATATAGGAATATTTATTTGTATACAACTGGTACATTCCAGTTGTATACAAATAAAGCTATAGTCCCTCCGGATAAAAGTGGTATCCCTCGTTCATAGACAACAGGCGATCGCAAAACATATTGTGGCCTTGTAGCACCCCTCTTGAGCCGCCATTTCAGAGGTCTAGGGTATTGTACTATCGTATATTGTACTAGAAGCCGTGCCCGCGACTTTGTCCGCGTGGAATTTTACTTTTTTTATTAAGATAAATTATATATACGAGTATATATAAGAAGAATCGAACCCGCGACCATATATCGTCGATTAAATAGAAAAATGTCATTTTTCAAAATTAGAATCTAGATTTGCCTCCTTTTATATAAGTCAATTAAATTAACCACATCGTCTTAATCATTTTCTAAATACTTTTAAAATGATATATAATCTTCGGTGTAAATTTTTGTTAAAACTTTAAAGAAAAAAAAATAATTCACAACTTTAAATGTACATTTTGTATAGTGCCATTTCTCTATATAACCAACGATATACAAAACTAATTGAGTTACTAATTGCAGGTTAGTAAACTCGTCGATGCCTACGAAAAACAATCTGTCAATAACAAATTAATATTTAAAAAGTTCAAAACTACATATACACAGCTTCTGTAGAAAGACCAAAAATTCTAGACTAAAATATTGATTGTGGGCTATTTTCAAAAAAGGACTGCTCAATGAACGTGTAACCTATTTAGTTTTTGGTTCAATAGTTAATGCTTAAATCGTAACCTTTAAACATTTGCTTCATTCTAAAGGGGGTAATAAATAAAAATTAGAGTGCTAATGTAAACGAATTGAATTCATCTAAGCTAATTTGAATTGACTGCAAATTGTGCAACACGCTGCTGCATAATTAAAACTTATTGCACTGTTTTAAAGCCATAATGAAATCGTTAATTTTCCGTTGAACATAATGTGTTATTCTTTTTAAAATACTGTTTCATTAAAGAGCGCCAGTAAAGACTTTTAATATGATTTACAAGCAACATATAAGTTTTGTTTAGCGCACCTTACCTACGTCTTTAGTCGTAAATAACAACGTAACATACTAATTGTTGTAACTGGCTAAACACAAATGTATTTTGTATTCTAAATTTGTATTTAAATTCTGTAGTTCCTTTTGTTTTGATACTTCACTTCATTCTGTTGTCAATACTATCCAAATATATATTTTTTCCGTATACGAAAATCTTTTTTCCTCTTTAACATATGTTACGACGATCATTAGTGTTGTAGTTTTATTTTATTCATATGAATAAAATAAAACTACAACACTAATGATCGAATTAACTACTATAACTACAGTTACTTTCTTTTAAATTCAGCTAAAATAGCCATTTTAGCTAATAGAGAATTAGATTAATTTTAAAATATTATTTTATTAAAGAAGACCAGTAAAGACTATGATTTACAAGCAGCATATCATTTTTGTTTAGCGCACCTTACCTAGGTACTTCTTTAGTCGTAAATAACAACGTAACATTCTAACAATCGAATTTAACTACGATAGTACCTTCCTTTCAAATTTATTCAAAATAGTTCAAAACATAAAATCGGTTCATTTTAAAATATTGTTTTTTTAAAGACGACCAGTAAAGACTTTTAATATCATTTACTAGGTACTTCTTTATTCGTAAATACTGTAATTTCCTATTAATCGAATTTCACTACTATAATTATACTACCTTTCTTTCAAATTCAGTTAAAATAGTTCATAGATAAAATAGGTTTTGTTATCTATGTTTATGAATAAGCTTAGTAAACTCTACAGCAGGGTTTCCCAACGTGGTGCCCACGCCCCCAGGGGGACAATTTGATTGCTAAAGGGACAACCCGTAAATGGACTTTTTATTAAAATGATATGGAAGGTTAATTCCGAGTTATATCATCACGATGGTCTAACTGAACTGACCTCATCGTATCATCATCCACTGGTGCCCGGCCAGCGTAGATATATTGCGCAGGCGGGTTCCATTATCAGCTGATATTAAAAATAGTAATTCATAAGGGTTTTACCCTTAAAAGCTATGCATCGTATTATTACGTTATACCATATTATTGTTCTATACACTTTACTGTAGTATCTGCGAAATCAACATCATTCTTCAAATTAGAGTAGTTGACTAAAATGCGGGTTATAATGACGCTATATAATATGTAGTTCCACGGTAAACAGAGCTTGTGTTATGGGTACTAAACAACTGATATATACTTAGATATTTGTTTGTAAATGCATATTATACATAGAAAACACCCACACAGGTACAAACAACTATACTCATGAATACAAAGGTTTGTTCCGTGCGAGGAATCGAACCCGCGACCATCGCATGGAAGTCGATATTTTAAACCGCTAGAGCACAGAGCATCGAGGCCATTAATATATTTCATACAATAGCTATATATTTTAACAGTTTTTTAAATTATATATTAAAAAAATATTTTTTTTTTTATTTTGAAATGTGATTAACGCCTATTATTTGTTTTATCTATACAGGGTGTCATTCGGCAGTTCAAAGGGGTCCATGGTAGAGACCTTGATATACGAGAGCCCGCTACAAGAAGAGCCGGAAAGCAGTCCGCCCCCGAAAGTGCAGGAAACAGCGTTCCCCTACACGCCCGTCGAAGACGAGTATGTTAAATTACTTTAGAGTATGTCATTATTGATTTTCATTATTGCCATTTTCTAATGCGAATGCATTGCGTCGTATAAAGATTCAGAAGAAGGATCAAAATACAACGTACATATAATAATGCACCAAAGTGGTTTTTGACGTTCATAAACAGCTAAAATGTCCTATATAAATAAATGATTTTTGAATTTGGAACACTTTTCCACCTTTCGTGTTCTCGGAGAACTACAACCCCGGATTCTTCAAGTCTATGGTGAATAGATTTCTTCTGGGTAAGCGAGCTACATCGTAGGTCTTGCCATCATTTACCATCAGATGAGGCAATACTAAGCGCAAACCCATTTATAATTTAAGAAATCGAATAGTGCATTTAGTAGTTGTATTAAATATGTGTAAATTCGTTTAATGTGAATCGATTTATAAAATCATACCTATATTCGAATAAGAAATAGACTCCTACAATTTTATTACTGCTACAAAATATATTTATAATATTGGCCTACGGGAGAATTTCTTCAATCGTAAGAAAATTAATATTTATAATACAATTACTGGAGTAAATATTTCCGAACATAAACATCACAATAGGTTTAAAATTGAGGAAGTAGACGAATATTTACGTAACGTACATAACCACATTGTCTAATTCTAAACATCTTCTCTTTAAAAGCTGGTTTTATAACAAAAAGGCATACTTATATCACTCGCTTTTTCCGCCCTTTCGACAAAAATAAGACTTCATGGATCATAGAGTGACGCACAGGCTAATCCTAAATACTTTGCTGTGGTATAAGTATAATATTAGATCTATTAATTTAACATATATTAAATAATATATTTTTAACTGACCACAATTACTCAAGGTAGGACTTGTAAGTACAAAAACTAAGCAACATCCATCTTTATTATATATTCTATCTATGTTTCCAAATACCTCAAAGTCAGTACCGAATTGCCATATTAAAAATAATAAAGTACCTACTTTAGGTATTTATTTCTATAATAGAAAATGTCAAACCGTCTGTTTTAACGGTAAAAGAACCCTTAAAAATAAATATTAATTAAAAAATACTGGTAATTAATGTATAAGTGTATCGTATTCATGTATAAGTGTATCGTATTTTATGGTGGCATTTCACGGCGTAACTCCCTCAAAATTGTTTTATATAATTATCCACTAATATATACATAATAATATATGCACTCTACTAGACATCATTTAATTTTCTTTTCAAATTACATTTTTCAATAATGTCCGGTATCTATTTAACTGTAGATAACTGTACTGTTTTTTGGTGTTAATATATTTTAGTTACATTTTCGTCAATAGTAATCTTAATAAAATAAAGAAATTTAATTTTACATTGCCAATCTGTGACCACCCACAGATTGGCAATGTAAAATTAAATTTCTTTCCGTTTAATATCACCTGATCGTAAACCGAGCTTTTAGATGAATTTTAATTATACTTTTTTGTACGGTGCATGACATTAGCGGGATAATTATCACAGGTTTTCATACCTTATTATTTAATTTATTCAAATGTCAAATTTTCTAATTTAAAATATAAAACAATTTAGTGATGTGAAATCATGAGTGATCAGAAAAGCTGCTGTTCCACTAATTTATCGTAAATTGTTCAAGAACAATAACTAGGGAGTATCACTAAAGAGAATAGCTTACATACTTATAAAGGTACTACTTTTTATACTTAAGTAAAAATTTAAGACATATTTGTAAAGTGTAAAAATAAATGTAAGATATAAATAAATAATAACAAGTAAAATATAATTTGCAACGGTTCGAAATCGTCTTTCGTTATGTAAATCGATTTTTTTATTCAAGTAATCTTAAAATAAAGTATATTATAAATATAAATTATATACAGTAAGCTAAACAAATAATATTATATTAACGTTAAATTAAATTGCAGGAAGATTGTGTGACGGTATCATAAAATTTACTGGTGCGAACATAGCCGCACATTGTTTTAGTACGCTATCGCCAATCGTGAACAAGGTGACATCACTAGGCGGGCACGAATGGCGCTACTCGCTTCACTGTACTCCATTCGCCACGGGCGAGCGCGACTTCCGAGATCGATGTTGTAGTGGGAAACACTGTTGTGTAGCGTCGAATTGGCCAAACCCTGTGTTAACTGCGTTGATGTTTTTGATTTCTTGAGTTTTTATTTAATATATCTTAACAGTGAAACGCTAGTAATCGACCAGTGTATAGTGATAAACATAAGCGGTGAATATAACTAAGGTAGGTATACTATTCACAGTAATCACGTCATACACTTGTTGTGCTTCGAATTGGGTGTTCTCACAGATTTTGACCCGGTATTATGTTTGAGTCTATGAAATTATATTGAAATTTTACAGTACTATGTTACTTTGGCACCTGCAGGTGTATTAGTAATAAATTGTCAAATAAATTTGCAATAATATTGTGTAGAGAATTCGGTCACCGTGACGTCATGAACACTGATTTATAAACATAAAACGACTCTCGGTTCCATCCAGCAGTCGGGAGTACAAGGTCATTACTCAGCACGCATATGTAGTAAACATACATTGGCAAACGTTTTAAAAGCTCTATTTATAATGTCACTACCAATGACGGCTATCCCTATGGAGGACCCGCCCTGTACCGTGGCCTGCATGCTGATCGTCGCTGACATCGGCCTGCCTATTTAGGCCCAACCACATAATTATCATGCATTATTATTCTATAAAATGTTCTAATAATGGTCATATGAATGAATTCCTCTATATAGCTAATGGAAGTAGACATAAATTGAATCTAACCACAAAGTTAACCAAGGAAATTTAGATAAAACTCTGAAGCATATAATTAATTATCCTCCATAGACTTGCTTAGTCTTGTATCAGCATACTCAAATGAAATTTGTTGCATAAAAATTTGAAACTTATAATATTCAATATGAAAAGGTAGGAGTGTATAAGTTTTTCTTGTTCCATTAATATTAAATTTATTTGGGAAAAGATTATAAATATTTTTAAAAATATAAATTTCTGCTTGTCCTATGGTTGTCTGGGAGAAAATGACTCAAGGTGTTAAGTTCGCTATGAGCACCTTTATTTATGGATTTGTGTATTGAAGTTTTAATAAATAAACAATAAAAAGATTTTATCCTACAAATACCTTACCTTGTTGTACCTTACTTACAAATCATGATTAGTGTGGTGAGTTGGAAGGGAATAAAATTCTACAAAGAAGCTTGTATGAACAAGCATTATTATGTTCATCTTACACTATCCAATAAGTCATTTGTTGGAAAAATAAGTTATATTAATTAAACTTAATTAATATAATTTATTTTACAAACAAATTGCTTTACAGTATGGCAAGTATTCAAATGGTTCTTATTCTCAAACATATAATTAACAAATCAAATATTTAATTCACCACTCTCATGACATCTAATTACATCAAATTTATGTTCTATCAATATTACATATAAATATCAGCAAGTAAATAATTTACAATGAAATTTTTTAATTACATATTATCGCTTTAAAAATTACTTTTAATGTCCTGAATATGTCCCCTACGGTGTTGCAGAAACAAGTCCAATTACATAAAGTGCGGCTGCAGTGAGGTGACCTACATTGCTCCCAATAAATAATAAATCTATGTACTCACGATCAATTAAGTGACAGAATGGACATTTGCCGATGTGAATTGAAACCATTTGATACAATGAGTATAATTAAACAAAGTGTTTGATCTTTAACCACTTATTAAGTATCTATATGCAGCTGTACATAGGTGTTCAATTGATTTTAATTTACAATCGTGGTTTTCTAGCACAGCTAAATGTTGTTATAATAGTACTGCCTATTTGCTTTTTATATTGTATTGATTTATGCTGTGCTAGAGGATATAGTAAATTTTTTTTATTACTTATTCATGATTTTGTTTCCATATTAACATCATTCTTCTTTACCCATTTCTGTATCTCTTTTGCCTTGATGAAATAATAATTAACTAATTAAATTTAATTATGAGTAAAAGTTATAAATTAATATTAATAACTTGTTTTGCTAATTATATGGTACAATAATATGTTTGAACCATTATTTGTTCAACACATGTGTTATGGAGCTGTCCAACAATGCCTGTGACCTTGGAACCATGTCAATTATGCTGTGCGTTGTTATTTCTCTATTTTTGCCGAGCAGCAGTTGAATCATGTCTCATTAAAGAAGCAACACTGACGTCAGATTTTTGCTAAGTTCTATATGTGTGATGATTGGTGACATTAACTCTTTATGATATGTGGGAGTTGATCCATTTCATCAACTGAGTACAAAAAGTAGGAACTTCTCAAGTCTACTTTAGTTCTTTTGTTTAAATTTAAATATCATAATAAATTGTGAGTTTTCATTTCATGATTATTTTTTTAACTTAAGTTATTTTCAATACTTAGTATTGTTACATTTAGCTTGTTTTTGTAATCTTAGTGTCACCTTCTGTTTCATGCTGTTTCTTATGCATTGTTTTTTTATAAACTGTCTCTTAATTCAATTTATGTTATATTATTATTTATAACTAGATGTGCCCGCGGTTTCAGCAGCGTTACATTTCAATAAAAAATATAGCCTGTATGTTATTCTGATAGCTATAAGCTATATTACTGTACACTTTCATCAAAATCCGTTAAGTAGTTTTTTCGTGAAGAGTAACAAACTTTCGCGTTTATAATATTATATATTAAAATTTTATTCTACACGTAAATTCATAGATTAAATTGAATTTGATGCTGGCGACATGGATTTTGCGTAGGATTTTCGTAATATAATTGTTTGATACAATATGAATAAATGAATAAATTATTTTTTTTATAATTTCAAAATATTAAGTCTGTACAGTTGCATATATTATGCTTTGCTAGCAATTTGAAATGCTAACGAGATATTTACGAGGACTAAATGTCGCGTGGGCGACGAATATAGTCATCTACTAATAAAAGAGGAGCTATCATTGAATCACCTTCAAACTGCATATATTGTTATTATATGTATGTGACCATTCTGTTGTTAACTCTTGGGCCTCGATAAATTAGGTATTATCGCTGTGCGTTATTAACGCCAATATTTGGAGTTAATTTGTTACATGTACATAAATAAATGATACAATTAATACAGCGCCATCTAGTCCCACGGTAAGCAGAGCTTGTGTTATGATTATTAGACAAATTATAACTTTTTTGTTCATCAAACTATCATAACAAATAATTATACTCATGAATACAAATGTTTGCACCGTGCGAGGAATCGAAGCCACGACCATCAGAAGTAAAGCCGAAGAGATAAAAATAAATAAATTCCTATTATTTTAATATACATATATATATTTTATTTTTGTATATTTTAACGGTGAGCACTCATCATCATCATCTGCTTCTTCCTTATCCCATTTATTTGGGGTCGGCGTAATATGTTTTTCGCTTCCAGCACTTTGCACCTGCAATCAAATGACCTTTGGTGAAGTTGAAAGTGGTGTCTGGGTTACAAATTACGTAATACAGTAAACAGTTATGATATGATTGTTACAAAATTAGTACATATGAATAACAAGATATAAATAAAACCAGAATACCTAAATGCATACTATAGTTATGTAGCTACATTCTAATGACCTCATCGTTTGAATTATACGTAATCAATAAAAGTATATTAACATTATCAATTGCAAAATAAATATCTTATCCCTCGACTGTAAGTTTTTATTAACGGCCTCGGTGGTCCAGCGGTTTAACCTACCGCCTTACTTCAAATGGTCGTGGGTTTGATTCCTTGCACTGCTCAAATATTTGTATTCTTGAGTATGATTGTTTGTATCAGTCTGGGTGTTTTATATGTAATTTAATTAGCTTGTAATGGAAGGATTTCCTTCAAACATTAAACTATAGCTTACTCTGGTAGCTCACACATCGTGCGGATGGTGTATTGTCGTTTCTTTATAGAAGATCCTTTTAAAGTAATGTTTCATTGGTCCAACACGTTCGTAAATTACAAATGCATATGATTATCGCATACCGCATTATAGTACAACGCTTGGCGTATAGACACTTGATATTTCTTAATTATTGTAATTTATACTTTTTTTTTGTATATATATATATATATATATATATGCCGTCTTGCAATGTATTTAATGTTATTGGGCGATAATGAAAAAAGCAAATATTTTGCTGGGCGATAATAGCAAGTGTTAGTACATATTGCGTAGGTATGGGCGAAAAAATTATTGAATTTTTAGTTCTATATTTAACTAATTTTGTAATTGTGGCGAAGGGTTTGGTTTTAATATTTCTTGATTCGTTATTTCACATAATTTATAGAATTAGACGTAATATTCGGACTGTGCGATATTCAAATTAAAAAATCATTTATTTATGTAGGACATTGTAGCGCTTATGAACGTAATATTTTATATTATAATTTTTCCCTACCGTCCAGTTCAGTATACAGGTTCAATTGAGAAGAATTGTCATGAAGCTCAATTGAAGATGTATCTGATTGTAATTGTATAAAAGTAAAACGTATAATAATATGTGGTTTCAGTTCGGAGCGTTCAAAAGTCCGCGTATCTTTCTACCAAGGAGCGCGGCCTCAGTGCTTGTCGCCACCGCCGCCTCACGCTCCGATCTCGGACTCCAGCGTCCTCTACGCCGCTCTGCTCTCTGCTGCAGCCAACGCTGACATGGCAGACCACGCGATGTATAACAGACAGATCAGGTAAATTTACTGATTCATATTAAGAAATATCCGCACACAGTTTCACTCGCTTTAAATTTCAATATAAAATATAGAATATGTGTCATTCTGATGCATTAAGAAAAGAAAGAAAGAAAGAAAAATATATTTATTTGGCGCATACAAAACAATCATACAATATTTTACAAAAATTATAACAAATTATTTTATAAATACAGCTGCGACCAAATTGGTTTCCACTCAGCTTTGTGTCTGGGCTGTAATGCCCAAACGCTGATTTTCAGTGGAACCTTGTAGAAAATAATTTAAAATATAAAATTTGTGTGCCTACTGTTGCCTGCGTGAACGTGCGCTGTTGGTGCTTTTGATAAGGTGTAAGTCTATGCTATGATTTAGCTACATACTTTTTTTTTATGGATGATAATGGAATGGTGCACTCGCCTGCCTTAACGGTTTACGCTGGCGGGGCACCAGTGAAGGATGATAAGGTGAGCATGAGTTCAGGTCAGTTAGCCCATCGTGACAAATTCACCAAGAATTTATCACGATGATTTCCAGGGGGAACCACGTGGAGGTCAACCTGACATGCTACATTACTAGCAATAAGATTATTTGTCCACGTTGCTAACAGTCACCTTTCCTCCCTATGCAACCGCTGTACCAACCTAACATGTATGTAACTGCAAAGTATCAAAATCCGTTCAGTAGTTTTTGCGTGAAAGAGTAACAAACATTCATACTTAGAAACTTTCGCGTTTATAATATATTAAGATGTGCAGAAATAGCAGGTTTTGCAGATACTGCGCGGATGGTATAAACAATTGTAGTATTAGCCGTATTGATAAACATGACTAATTCCATCAAAAACTTGACCTTCGCATGTCCAGAGAATAAATGTAGCACTTAGTTTCAATCATACACCCCAACTGACGTTCATTTTGTTGTCGAAAAGATTTGCTTCTATCTTTAATAATTCACTACAAACAATTACAGACAAATCTATACATCATTATATATAAATAAAATTGGAGTGTCTGTTTGTAATATTGAAATAACCGTTTTTACTACATGCATATGTATATAAATACGGTACATACACCAAAATAACATTTTTAATAATTTTTGTCTGTCTGTCTTCTTGTTCCGGCTAATCTCTGAAATGGTTGCACCGATTTTGACGTGACTTTTTTAGTATTAACAGTTTCCATACTAGATTTCCATGCTAGAGATAGATATTAGTCGCGTCTAACAGTCGATTTAAACAAATTTCAACACTCGCGCCATAGCCTTTGATTCTAATTTGCTTTGCCTTTCATTATTTTCTGTCAGGAGTCTGCGTTCTTTAATAATACCTAATTGAGAGATAAAGTCACTGTAATCAGAACGAGAGCACCCATTAAACGACTATAAATAGAAATAATCTTTATTCCAATAAACTCATTACAAGCACTTTTGAATAGTCAAATTTTGATTCTACCACTCATTCGGAATGCAGATTCATCACAAGAAGAATGAGCAAGACACTTGTGTGTTGCTCTTTTTAATAGACTTTTTTTTATATAAATAATTACAGTATAACAAGTAAGAGGCATGCGATAATCAACATAGAAATCACTACGCACTCATTATTAGTGTAATCAGATAACATTGACTGTTTCTGGTTTCTATCCTAATTATTGTAGAGTGTAGCGTTCAGTGAATACATAGCAGGGATGTTAGGGAGCTCCGTAACCGTAACCGAATCCGAAATAAAAGTTACGGATAATATCGGATAGGGACGGAGCCTAATTGGGACACGTTATGTAACCATTTTATTAGTTATTTGTATTTTACTTTTGAAATTCCTTAAAAAAATAATATCCGTAACCGAAATTACCCGAAACTAACGGATAATCCGAAATAATTTCATATCCGCATCTGTATCCGTAACCGGTATAATAATCATTCCTATATCCGAAACCTATCCGTATCCGAAATTTTATATCCATAACATCCCTGATACATAGACGCGAGTTGAGTTTTTATTTATGCTGTCACAGTCAATTGCTGGTGCTAAATTAACGTGTGTGCCAGGGACCTTAGTCATACTAGTAACTACCGCGTTCTATGTGTACTCAACCATCAACGTTTCCTGTATGAAGCGACTTGCAGAACACATTGCATATATTTTGCAATATGTTGATAATGAAAGAAGAGTTTAATACAGTTGCATTAACCACTATTAAATACTCTATCCAACTCTAATTTTTCCTAACTTTTGTGCGTTTTATATATAAAATTCTCGTGTTACAATGTTGCCAACCTCTGAACGATTTGACCGATTTTTCTGAAATTTTATATGCATATTCAGTAGGTCTGAGAATCGGCTACTATCTAATTTTCATACCCCTAAGTGATAAAGGTTGTCCACCCCTAACATTTTATTATTAATGTGGCATTAAAAAAAATGCAACCCCTATATAATAGTGTCTAATGATGAAAAAGAAATTGAAAATCGGTATAGGATTGCCGTGACAGTGACAAAAGGAAAGTGGATTGTTTGGTGGGGTGACGAAAAACAAAATCGAAGTTCTAAAACAGGTGTACATAAGAAGGCATTGTAATCATCATTTGGGTTTAGGGTTGCCAACTTGTTTTGACAAAAAAACGTATAAACTTGTTTGGATAGGAAAAAAATCGTATTCAAATATTTTTTTTTTGCAGTTAAATGTATTATTGTGTGCTTTTAACACTAGAGTTGTGACATATGCTATATGTATGTGTAGAGTATTAACGAAATGTTATAAATTTTGTTCAGTAGCTAAATGTAAATCATTCAGTACCCATAATGAGTATTTTGTTTTACGCATCACAGTAAAGGTTGAAAATAAAGTATTTTTGCATACTTTATATAAAAATATAAAGTGTAATTACGAAAAATAATGTAGGAAACGTTATTATAAAGTATGGTTGGCAACCCTATTTGTATTGGTGGATTGTATTGGTTACGTAATTAAATATATTATATGTTTCTTTCATATGCACTTCAAGTTATCGCAGTCGACAACTGTTCGGTTGATAATGTTTAGGTTAATAGATACTAATATACTTATGTACACGGGTAATGTCCATTGAAATCGTTTTACCTGGTAACTACAATTAATCAAAGCAAAGAATGGTGACGCCATTGCTTAACGGGCGAGTCCCATTTACCTTTTATATAATGCTATAAAATGTATACAAAACGTACATTTACAATGTAGAACGTTGATCATTCACTATTGTACACATATATTGTGATTATTTATTTTTACAAAGCTACCAAACTGATCTGTAAAAGTTACGTAGTTTTTGGACCCAGGAATATTCTCAGATCTCATATATATACAATTTATCTAAAGTTTGTGCTAATGTCAGTTGGGCTACTGTATTTACGTCTATATTTATTGTATCTTATCTTATATTAGATATCCACTTGCAATTGGTAATCGCAATGTCTAACTAAATTCATATTTTGTCAATAATTGCTGAGATCTGTATCTAGTAAAAACCTATTGTTTTCGATTCTAATTTTGTGCTATTTAGGAGTGCAACTTTTGTCGTTAGGGATAGCAAGTATGCATTCATCATATTAGTAGCAAAGTATTGTGTAGGTATATTACCATTTCTAGTAGTTTATATTACTATTTCTCCTTAATATAAAATTCAGATACATAATAAGTCCGGGTTTGGTAAATATAGTTTATTCTTAATTTTCGCAAATAAAAAAGAAACAAACCCTTAAGGTCTAAGGGTTAAAATTGAATTTCAAGGCATTTTATGACATTTGTGACATTAGTAGTATACAGAGAGTTCGGAATCATATTGAAAGTAAATAGTTATGTGAGCAATAATGAGTAATATTTTCTAAACTGTTTAATTTAAAAAATAAGGGAATATCGCTGTATTTGGAAATCCTTAAAAAATAAGCATATTTTCACTTATATTGTCATGCATTTATCTATGTTTTCCTGGCCTTAACCTTTTCGTTTTATTTCGGGTTGGCGCAGTATCGTTTATCTTTATACAAGTGTTTGGTTGAGATAGCGATAATTTTATTGCCTCAAAAATGTACCTATGTACTATATACACAATGACATATATCCATTAACTTTGAGAAAAAAAAATTGTGTAGGTACTTGAATTTTCGAATTTTAAACTTGGATAAGCGTTTTAAATAGTTTCCTTAAAGTACTACTTTATAAACAATTATATAGCGAGAAGTATTTTAGAAGTAATGGATAACCCTGAATATGTAAAATATCAAAATTTATTATAATAGATTTTATTTATATATAATATAAATAAATAAGTAATTTATTTGCTTGTTGCAAATATTATACTGTATTATACTAACATTTATTTTACTGCTATAAATATTGTTATATCTTTTGTACATTTACAGGTTTTGATCAATTTTGCCATATACATATACACTTAAATTAAAAAGGATACCTACTTTATATAGAAAATTAAAAATAGTTATCTGGTATATTTAGTATGGTGTTCGTGAAAATATAGTAATGAAATAATGTTAATATGATTTTTATAGTAATATTTATTTGCATTGTATACAAAGACATATCACCGGCAGATGTACTAGGCCTTAGCTTTAGCACACCGCTTTTCTTTCGATGGTTGCGGGTTCGATTCCTCGCACGGCGCAAACATTTGTTCAACATGAGTATGATTATTTGTCGGTGTGTTTGTGTTTGATCGGTCTGGGTGTTTTCTATAGATATGTATATGTATGTATTTACAAAAAAAAAAACTATAGTAGCATGTTAGCTTAACTTGGGACTACATGGCGCTGTGTGAATTGTCCTGAGATTATTATAATTAATACATATTTTTTTTCCTATAGAGTTATGTTGACAGGTATATCGTAGAATGTATTTTGACGGCCTCGGTGGTCTAGCGGTTTAGCACACCGCTTTACATCCAATGGTCGCAGGTTCGATTCCTCGCACAGTACTAAGTATTTATATCAGTTGTCTAGTAACCATAATACAAGCTAAGCAGACCGCGGCACTAGATGGCGCTGTGTTTATTGTCCAGGGTTTTTTATTTATTATTACTTATTTTAATTTACCAGAGCCGGAAATCTGTAATAAGCATAGAAGCGTGTTGATTAAATGAATACAATCATGATCAACTATACGATATCCGGCATGGTTATGGTTTCCCGTTAGAACCTGCCTGCTATAAATGGTAGCGCCCGATTTTTTTACTCGGTATGTTAGTAATACGTAACAACTTTGCATTTCATATACTGCTTTTGTTTTTTTTAATTTATTTAGGATCACTAACAATTGTTACACCATCATTACATAGTATAAAATAAAATCGCTGTCGTTGTCTGTCCCTATGGATGCTTAAATTTTTAAAACTACGCAACGGATTTTGAAGCGGTTTTTTTAAATAAATAGAGTGATTCAAGAGGAAAGTTTATATATATAATACATGTACATCCGTTCGAAGTCGGGGCGTGTACCTAGTACAAGAATATACATAGAAAATATCTAAAATAAAAACTTAATTTAAGCACTTTTGAATAGTCATAGTTATTCTTATTTTAATCTATCACTCATTCGGAAAGCTGTCTCATCACAAGAAGAATGAACAAGAAACTTGCGTGTTGCACAATTTATTTATTTATGTGGTGATCTAAATGATCATTTATATCATAATTATTTATAAGCGAACACGGCATTCAAAATAATATAAAAAAGTTATATAACGAAAATATTAAATTGTTTTTTATTTTGATTATGTTTATTATCTACAACTGCGTGTGTGTACGTATGTGTTCATCATTCATTCCTGACACAGTCATTCATGTATAATATAATAGCCACGCTCTTATCGGTGGAGCGCTTGCTACATTCCACGATCTTCCATCATGCTCTTTGATGAAATGATGTGTTGATACGACGCCACTCTGATTTTGTCTTTGGTTTGCTTGATGTATCTGTGACTTGGTAATCCCCTCCCCCTGTTTCCTTCATGACACAGTCTTTATTATTAAATTATGATGTACGAACGTGCTGAGGTTTTACTGTCATTCACTTTTATTGTTCTTCTTCAAAGTTCGATACTTAGATTTTACGATTGGCGCACCCCAGATATGTCGCACTAGTTTGTTAGAGAATATACTCTAAAGCCTTTACTGACTTATTACTTATTACTTACTGATATTTTGCTGTAATTTGTGTAAAAACCTACTAAACTATTATATATAATAGTTTAGTAGGTACTTAGTCTAGTAGATATATAATTTTTTATTTTGATAATAGCAAACCCTGAATAATACCTCTTACTCGTGACTAAATATGTGTACCTGTTTGTAGGTCAGTATGATTTATTGGTTATAAAATATTATTGTTTGTACCGGTCTGGGTGTTTTCTATGTATACTATGTATGTATTTAAAAAAAAATATCTAAGTATTTATACCCGTTGTCTAGTACCCATAACACAAGCTCTACTTACCGTGGGACTAGATGGCGCTGTGTAATTTTTTTTATTATTTAGTTGTATGAGGTGCATTCTATACAAACTAATTATTTTGGACTAGATAGCTATACGATATGTCCATATATACTATATTTGTTATTTATTTATTACATTTCATTAAGTATATTTAAGTATTATGTACTCATCTGTTTAAATGCAAAAGCTTAATTCTGAAAGGATAAACATACTTCTAATTGTATTAAAAAACTAGCTGTATTATAGTATTTTTCTAAAATAAAAGTTGCCTAAGTTACTTCCTATTACATCAGCTACCTGCCATTAAAAGTCCCGCCAAAATCGGTCTAGCCATTTCAGAGATTAGCCAGAACAAACAGCAGATAGATAAAAATTATAAAAAATATAATTTTGGTGTATGTACCGTATTTATAATCATACGCATGTCGTAAAACAGTTATTTCAATATTACAAACAGACACTCCAATTTTATTTATATGTGTTTTTAATAACGCAATTTCGTATGTTATCACAGAGTGTTTGATAGTTTTTGTAATACCTATTATACTATATTCTTTTGTCGCAGCACGGAGAGTGGTTGGGACAACCCGTTCCGTCCGGACGGGGACTTAAGCCGCGAGGCAGATGAGATTGTTTCTCTGATCAAAGGGGGGAAGCCGATCACGCCTACACCGACCGCCGCCCCGCAGCTGCCTGTATGCGAGGAGAAGGAGGAGAAATCCCATGCGAACAACGTTACCGTTAGTGACTCTTTTTTATATGAATGATAATGAAAAAAGATAAAGGAATGGTGTACTAGCTGACCTTAACTGTTGGACCAACGCTCCACCTCGTTGATTCAACAGTTACGGTTGGCTGGTGCTGTGTCGACCTGACTATCTCCCGTGTCTTGTTATTCAAATCCGAAATATGTTTATTCATGTAGGTCTATTACAGACTTATGATATGTCAAATCTACCGTCAGTTCGGAATGATTTCGCGATGAGAAGAACTGATAAGAAACTCAGCTCATTCTTTTCAAATAAATGTTGTACATGTTTAAAATAATACAGATTCATTTAAATTCAAATTTGGGAGAATAGGGTGACCACCATCATATGCTATTGCAAAAGCAAAAAGTGAGCCTAATCAGTGTTCGTAACCTGAACAGACCAGTCTCCACAAGTAACCCGTTCACGAGTATGATGGATTATGGTTGTTTTATAAAAAGTATTCCAAATGTCTAAAGTTTTAAATTGGAGAATGGGGTTGGATCTCCAGGTCTTAGGAGTCATTTGTTGTTTGATTGCCTGCCATTCGACAATATAGAAATTCAACCAATTTAAGATGTAACATTATTCTATGAGCCTTTTAACAAGCTTTTGTGTAATATGCCAATAATTAAAATTAGAAATATGAAAGTTTTGAAGGAAATGAAATGAAAAATCCCTTTATTGTTCCTCTCACAGAATGAAAGTAACAATAACATAAATTAATATGTATATCAAATATAAAAACAACATAATTACAATACAGAGGCAACAATGGGCGGTCTTATCGTAAAATAGATTTCTTCGAGGCAACCTTAGGATGAGGAGTGATTAGACTGAGTCTGGTCGAGGCAACGATAATTAGTTATTACAAGTAGTATTAAATAAATATTAATTAATATTATATACATAATAATTCTTATATATTATATAATGTATACATACTAGCACCATATATACATAATTTCTTTTCTATCTGCAATTAGTCCTTCCAGTTATAATAAGATTCTATTGTATTATGGGCATTAAGAAATATCGCATGTCCAGTGAGGTGCATTTATTATTGCCAGATGTCAGGTGAGCCCTTTTTAGTCTAGATGGACAGTTATTTGTATCCAGTAGCTTTAAAGGTAAACTGGTTCTTATGGCCAGCTAATCTTGTGTTTATATCTTCCACTATATCTTCTTTTATAGTTGGCATTTCTAGACACTTTCGTTGGACTTTCTGACACTTCTATATTCTTTTATAACCAGAGAGGTCTGGTTATAGTTTTTAATGCTTTGTTTTGAAAGCATTGGAGAATTTCTATGTTCGAGTATGAGCCGATCTCCACAGCATATGTCTATATATGTACATGAGATAATAAAATTAGCATTGCTTATATTGCAGGCAGCAGGGCCGGGTTCGCCTCAAACTAAGTTGGATAGTCCAGCGCAGCAGAGTACTCCGAAGGCCATGAACGGTACTAAAAATGGCGCCGCAGTTGTGGACCAGCGTCCCGGACAGGTGGAGGTGCAGCGCTCGCCGCCGCAGGAGCCTCTGCAGCCTGAGCACGTCACCATCAAGAAGAAGCCCAAGTGCAAGTGTTGCGTCATTCAGTAACTCCCCAGTATAGATCTCGTCTCCGTTTTCACCGGCAACACGCTGTTTCATCAACCCAGCATTCTCCCCATTGTGGCGCATACTCGGTGCTATTTAATTTTCCACGTGTCCTTTGTTTATGAATCGAGTAGGTATACAAATCTTATATAGCAGATCGCAATGCCACCGTGTTCTTGCATTTGGTGTCGTGCATAATTATATTTGTGTAACATTGTTTACACATTCAGTTTGAGCCTCAGCATATTTTTAACCTAGATGGCAGTTATATTATCTGTTATATTAAGATTGTTTTTGATAATTTTATGTGCTAAGTTTTTATTGAACTTTTTATAGGGTACAAACTTAAAGTATTTATTATCTAGCTAGTCTGAAAGAGAAATATGTTTTACACGTCATGGTTTTTCAAGCCATAAAGTTTTCAGGGACTTGACAAGCGCGCGAGCGCCCATTCATGTGATGTTAATTAAATAAAAAAAATATTTCTTGATTATTCAAATTGTAAGAATCTCAAGAAGATTAAAATGGCATCGACAAAGAGCTAGGCAGCAAGTGAGAGAGTTTATGATAAGCTGTTTTATATCAAGTAAAATTTATAATTATTGTGACTAAAATGAAAAAGTATAGTTCCATTCATTAAAAATAAAGGAGTGTCCGTAACGAACTCTCGCAATCACTATATTTATTTGACAGTTTTTAAAATAATTTATTGTCATATTAGTAAATGATTATTTTAGAAATACTCTCGTAGCTTGTTAGTTTGCTTTAGCTTTTTAGTTAGCTACAGGAGTATTTTTTAAATAATCATTCAGAAATATGAAAATTGTTTGTATTGTTTTTTTAATGAAAATACTATGATTATTGCAAAACTATAGTTTTAATATTCTTATTCATCGTTTCTCAACCATTTTATGTCGCGACCCACGATATATCTTAATATTTAATTTTATAAAACTAAACTGAAATTAATTTCTATAATAAACCTATATGTAGTTTGTATTTATTATTTTTCAACAGACTACGAACCCCTTTAAAAATAAAGTCAACCCCCGAGGGTCGCGACCCCTGCTTGAGAAACGATGCTCTTATACATAATATTAATGTCATAATTTTGAAATCACTTAATAATTTATTTGAAAACTGTTACTTTAGAGTTGATACTGTGTTGAATAATATGTAATAATACATAATTTAAATGTATATTTTTATATCTTAATTTATGAAAAAAGTATTATAATAGACCATACAGAATGGCTAACCTACCAATGGGAGATGTCAGACATGATCTGCGGAACCGCTTTCGAATATGCTATTGAGTAGATATTTATTTAATAATTACATATTATTATTGTTATGTAATATAATAATTCTCTCCCATTAAGTAGTTTGCTACTTTGTAATATGCATAATATACTGCATGAAGGTTTTAATATATTATCACTATGACCAATGTCGTGAGAGTAGTCCCACAGAATAAAATAGAATAATGATTAAATAAATATGACTACTGTTGTTAGTTTTACATGTGGTGTTACAAAGTTAATACACGCTTGCTTCCAGTAGGTAATGCGTACACAACTAGACGTTGTTACCGATCGGTTCTCATAGCTGGTTATATATTGACGCCTACTGGATATTTATTTAAATTAATATAAGACTGTTTCGGTTGAATATATATTGTAAGGGTGGTTTTATAATTCGCTTTTGTGTAACTGATTGGTAACAATAGGCACTAGCGTGAGATATTCAGTGTAACCAGACGCTTAGTTCAGTGCGCTCTAGAACACTAGCATTTTATGTGTACTACAAAATTATTTCTTTATTATATTGACATAGATATATAAAGTTATAATTATATACCTACTTAGGGACTAAATGTTGAATCCAACTTCTATAGGATATATAGTGCTGCAGTTAAATATAACAAATATAATGATTACGTTTTATTTGTGAAGGCATGCAGCTAATGGCTACTGAGAGGTGGACTTAAGATCATGTATGGTCATGAGTAATGATTGTTAAGAGGTAGATGCTCCCTTCTGAACGGAATAGCATTCTTAAGGTAGATAGGAAATTAGACAGAACGTAGTTAGATATCCCATTTAAAATTTTGTTGTTACAACTTAATTTATTTTTTTTGTTTAGTTTTTATATTTGTGACGCTGTCATACGATTGACGTGTTATTGTATCCAAAACTTTGTGAGTTATATTTCTTCAGAGGATATTGTGTTAAATGATAGATTTAACAACCAGATGGAATCGGATAGTAGTATTGCTAAAAAGGTTTTCTATATATATTATAGTACATTTCAAAGAGGGCTGATCATGCTATGGATTAGAGTAGTTCTAAATATTCGACAAAGGGCAACGTAGCTTGGCGTTACAGTATTTGTGAATCATGCAGCTCAGCTTTTAGTATCACAAATGTTTGCTAGTGCGTTGTTTCCGACGCAACCTCGGTCCTATGTTAATGCGAAATTTAACAGTGTAGTCATGCACTAGAATATTAAGCCTTTAACTTGATATATATATATAAATAAATAAAAGCGTCCATTCCGTTACAGACATAATACTATAAATAGTTATTAAAGGTCGATATACGCCCTGTCATAATCGAATAGCGCACATCAGAGAGGATTCATCACAACTAATATGATTGAGATTTAATGTACCAAATTGTTACAGAGCTCGTTCGAACATTGTTTCTATAGTAATTTAAATCTACGTTATCTATATGGATATTGTTGAGAAATATCTAAAGGCATCACAATTAAAATATGAATGTTTATTTTTTTAAATTGTTTGAATACATACATTAATATGTGTATTGAAATAGTTTAGGAAAACTGCTCTCAAACCTACAGTTATCTAGAGCAATTGTACCCCGTGAGTGTTAAATCGACGTTTCCTCCCCAATACTCTAGTTTTGAAACAGTACGGTTTAACTCTCATATTCTATCATCACTATCATAAAAATTTAATCTCATTTTACATTCTAATATATTTATAGAACTTATAGCGCTTGTTAACGTCTATTGTTACTTTTTTAATTTGATTTTTATTACAACATGAAAAATTTTGTGTGTTGATTTTGGGCACAAAATTTCGGTCATAATAATTCCTATTTATAATAAAATCGGAGCAATAATAATATGGCATGATTATGATGATATAGCACAGTAAATTACAGTAATGGGAAAATTAAATTTTACGACATAATAGATTTTGTGTTCTATAATTATTGGTATTTCTTTAAAAAGTAATATCATCAATTGCATATTTTATTGCTCCTAAAGTTATATGTAATTATGTAAAGTTTATAAGAATTATGTATGTATAATAAAAAAAAAAGTTGTAAACACCATTTTAAGAATCGTAATGAAGCTAAAGTATGTTCCTTAATAAAGTCTTTTATTTATAAGTAAAATACTGGCATTAAGGTTCTATATTTGAAATCGTGTTATCTAGTTGAAGTTCGACTATGCTTTGTTCAATTAAAAAAAATAGGAAAATATACTTTCTCACAATATAATATTACATGATAATTGTGGCGTAAATTCTTATTTCCAATATTAATGTATTAGCTATATGTGTAATACAAATTAAAATGACATTATATTTGTATAAAATATTTACTTTCTATTATTGTCGATCAATGAATATGTACAAATCAATTACAATGTAATTATTTATATTAAATCTTTAAAGGCGATCCGGTTGTGTTGTAACTAATTTGGGCTATCTTTGTTTTAAAATAACAATGACCCTTACATATTTCGATTATTATGCCTGATGGGATAGTCAGAAACATAATTTGTATACTATGATAATGGCAAACAAGCATACGGCCCTTCATAAGCATATGGTAAAGGGTTACCGTAGCCTATGGACGCCTGAAACACCAGAGGTGTCAGGTGCACGTTGACGACCCCATTGTCGATGATGCAGTAAACGTAACACTTGACATTTTATTGATATATTTTTATTTTATTATTTCCCATTATTTGTTTCTTAACCTTTTCTCATTAGCTTGGTCAAGTTCAGATTCGAATTCCCAACCATTGATGTTGATTAAACCATGATGCTCAATAATTACTGTGCCAATTTGACGCTCGTTAGACCTTGGATTTTGTTGTATTATAATATATTAAGATTCATACAATGCATCTTAATTAATTTAAGGTGGTTATAAGATGGTGCACTCGTCTGTGCTAACGGTATACGCTAGCGGGGCACTAGCGTAGGGTAATAAAAAGATGAGTATGAGATCAGATCAGTTAGTTCATAGTGATAAAGTGTGAAAAAACTTCGCATATATAATATTAGTAAGAATTAAAATGTAGTACGTCTATCTATCTATTTATAAAAATAAATATGCAGTAGGACGTCCTAACAACAAACGAACTGGTTCGTGCCACCTACATTCGATGACGCCTACAACAATTTTTGCTTCGCTGTTCCCAAATTTCATTTTATATAAAACTACAATGCATCATTACAAATCTTTGAATTTCTCGCCTTGTTCTATACTGTAACACGCATTTACTATACATATAACCATTCCTCTTGAATTACTCTTTATCCTTTCTGAAAACTGCATTAAAATCCGTTGCGTTGAAATATATAAGCGAACAGACAACGGTAGTGACTTTGTTTTATATTTTTGTGGTTTCTAGAGCCAACGTGTGGAGGTCCACGGCCCTTGGCTTTGTAGTGTACATGATGTTCATGTTTAGAAATGACAACTCTACTTCAACTGGTGGGCAGTTAATTACAATAAATCAAGCGGGACAAATTATGGTAGCATTTATAATTATTTTTAGTTACCCCTGAACAATTCACATGTCATCTAGTCCCAAGATAAGCACTAGTAAGCAGAGCTTGTCTTATGGGTACTAGACAATTATATATATTTTTTATTTGTAAATATATACTTAATATAGGAAATACCCAGACTGATACAATCATACTCACAAAAGTTTGTACCGTGCGAGGAATCGAACCTTAATAATATGCCGCCTTCAGAAGTAAAGCGGTATGCTAAACCGGTGCACTAGCACCACCGAGGTCAACTGTACAGGTGTATAGTAATAATAATAATCTCAGGACAATTCACACAGCGCCATCTAGACCCAAGTTAAGCTAGCTAAAGCTTGTATTATGGGTACTAGATTACTGATACAAATACATAGATCATTATTTTTCAGAAATACATAATATACATAGAAAATACCCAGACCGATACAAATAATCATACTCATGCATACAAATGTTTGTGTCGTGCGAGTAATCGAACGAGGACGTAAAGCGATGTGCTAGACCGCTAGACCACCGAAGTCGTCAAATATAGTCTACGTAAAAACATCTATTTTATTTATATTTGCTGCCAAGCAGCTTTATAAGCCGTTTCAATTTGAAGGGTGACACGTTCTTTATGAAGATGCCTGAAGGATTCCACGGGTATCAGGAGAGCTCCATAGCTCTGATTCAACGGTTTACGCTTTCCAACAGGCGTATTCTGCATCATGTAATGTAGGGACGTGCGCAATAATCATGTACTGCATTTTACTTTTTTTTAATTCTAATTGAAAGTAAATTAGTATTCCATATATACAGAGATCTAAAATATAATACTATCTGTGGCGATTACACCCGCGTAAAATTTATAGACTGTGTCGTTCTGATGTACAGCTTATACATAAGAATAACATAGGCTGTAGTTCATACAGTGGTGGTGTTCATCCATGCAGTGGTGTTTGCGTGAAAGAGCATAAACATCCATCCATCTACACTAACAAACATCCACATTTATAATATTAGTATGTAATATTATGTTATCTGTGATATTAGTAAAATTAAAAGTGGTCGCCAATCACTTTCTCATTTTTCTATTCTATATAACAAAACTCTACCTTCACAGTAGTGAAAAATTATTTTAACTACTAAATATACACAGACTAGTGTACATTTATAAGAATATAATATAATAACCTCAGGACAATTCACACAGCGTCATCTAGTCAGATGACTTATTGTATTATGGGTACTAGATAACTGATACAAATACATAGATTTGCACATGCATGTTATAGAAAACATCTAGACCGATACAAACAATCATTCATACTCATGTATACAAACATTTGTGCCGTTCGAGGAATCGAACCCGCGACCATAGGAAGTAAGGCGGTGTGCTTAACAGCTAGATCACCGTGGCCGTCAATTTATTTTTGTTATAAAATTATTATTGTACATGTGTATTTATATTTGTATCATCATCATCTGCTTCATCCTTATCCCATTTATTTGGGGTCGGCGTAATATGTTTTTCGTTTCCATTCATCCCTGTTCGCAGTCATCGCGTTATTTACTTCCTTTCTTACCATATCATCTTTCACACAGTCCATCCATCTCTTTTTTGGCCTTCCTCTGCCCTTATAACCATCCACATTCATTTGTAACATCTTTCTTAAAATATTATCCTCGTTCCTACGCATTACATGTCCATACCATGATAGACGATTACTCTTCAACCTCTCTGACACCGGTGCCACTTTCATACTTCCTCTAATGTATTCATTCTTTATCTTATCCATTCTTGTCACACCACACATCCACCTCAACATTCTCATTTCAGTTGCATGCAGTCGTCTTTCATCCGTCGCCTTTACGGGCCAGCACTCTGATCCATACAAGACAGCAGGCCGGATCATGGTCTTGTAAATTTTCCCCTTAAGCTTAAGAGGAACACGCGAGTCACACGTCGTTGCCGTAACCTGCCGCCACTTCATCCATCCTGCGTTAATTCTATGCTTTATGGCCCTGTCTAATTCACCATTGCTTTGGAGGAGAGAACCTAGATACCGGAAATCGGAGCAAACCGGAAATCGGAGTAAATGTATTTATATTTGTAGGTAGGTATATAGTGTCGAGAGTATTGAAAATGCGTTATCAAATCAAACGTATATTAAAATATATTAATGATTACAATATAAAAAAATATCTAAATAGTAGGATACAGATTAACATTACAGAATAATCTAAAATTGTCCACATAATTGATGAGGTAATTACTTTATCAACAATCATAATCACAAGAAACTATGAAAATTAGATTATTATATATTTTCTTGAATAAGCCTCATACCTTAAGGGGATTTCCATTAATATACTATCTTCACAGTATTCAAATAACAGAATTACAATATTTCACATTATTATTTCGCTCCCTATTTATAGGGAATATTTTAGTGGACGGTTTTTTAGCCCCCTGCAAATTACGGTTTCATGGAGTTTAATGCGGTATGTGGCTTTATAATAATATACACAACAGCAATAAATTTATCCAAATTGAGTCGAGAAAAAGGAGATCACAGTTCAATATATTGAAGTAAATTATTACATAATTATTTTAATGGTATCCAGAATATACAGAATACCGTGTAGTCAATTATTAAATTGACATACATAAACTTACTCAAATTTTGCGCCTACTCTCTTACTTTACAATCTATTGCTAGTTGATATAACAAAATCTTATGCCCAAAAATAGGCTGTAATAGTATATTTCTTTATTGTAAACTATAACTATCCTAATTAATTATTATCGTACCTAATTTTAAATAATTATATTTGTATTATGTAATTATGGCGAATATATGGTATCGAATCGATCCACCGTAGTCGGCAATAAATATTAATTCTTTTTAATTTAATTTAAACATGTTCAAATTTGAGGTTAGAAATTGCAGTGCGGTTTTTTTTTCGGATTACTCGGAGTATTAGAACCACAAAACTCTAACACAAAATTCCAACCACAAAGTATTGGAAATTTGATATAAATCAAAATTAACATCTTTATTCATGTAAGTCTATTACAGACACTTATGATATGTCAAATCTACTATCAATTCGGAATGCTTTCGAGGTGAGAAGAACTGATAAGAACCTCAGTTCGTATTCTTTTCAAATATAAATTTGGGAGAACAGAGTGACAACCAGCATATGCCATTACAATTTTGTCAAAAGCAAATAGTCCCAGAGTTCGTGACCCGAACAGACCAGTCCCCAAGCAATATATTGGTATTGAAAAGATATCAACAATATATTTCCAACACTTTGTGGTTTTTTATTCACTTATCATTAATCAATACTCTGCCTAAGATGGAATAATCAGTTCACATTTTACTATCATGCATTTCCCATGTGCTTATTAAATTTTTTTTTATTTGACTTCAAAAGAGAAATAACATGTTGAGTTCATTTGCTGAGTGAATTATTTCCATGATTCCAATAACCTAGGACAATTCACACAGCGCCATCTAGTCCAAAGCTATACATAGCTTACTTTATGGTAGATGACTAATAAATTATATAAATACATTTTTTTTTGTAAATACATACATAATACACATAGGAAATGCCCAGACCAATACAAACAATCACACCCACGAATACAATTATTTGTACCGTGCGAGGAATCGAACCGTCAAGCCGTTAGGTCTACTCACCGCTAGACCACCGAGGTCTTCGCAATGCATGTCGACTTTTAATAACATAGATATACATTATTATATAATATATATATGTATACAGTCATACACTTTTAGTATGTAATTTACGGTAAGTACTCATACATTTCTGCAATAATATAACCAGACCGAATGTTCCTTTCGTCTGATCAAACTGACTATATGTGGAACTGTCGTGAAACAGCAAAAGATCTGGTAGCATCAGTCATTTTGATTAATGTGCTAAATCTTAGTTTTGTGAACAATAAATATTTAACTTAACTCAATATAAGAACGAATCAACTAAAACGAACGAATAAAATTTTAGTATCTATCTAAATAATTAAGCAATCATGGTAAAATAACTAAAAATTATTGGATACATTCAGCGTAATTGTACTATAAAAAAACATTCGAGTTTCCTGTAATATCTATGATTACGTAATATAACAAAATCGTAAATATATTGGTTATTGAATGTTTTACACGCAAATACTTTTAAAAATGTTACTTTATGGCCTTAAGTAGTACAATTTTATATATTACGTTATATACTATTTTAAACCTTATTACCTACTTAATTGTAACAATAATTGAATTGTGTATCACGGGAGTAACACTAGGCTATTTAAGGCCTGTGTAAATGAAGGTCAGAATAATATCCCATGCCTTGGCGTGGAATACTATTTTGTGCCTCAGTATAGTTGAAATGCACACGCATTTTAGGAATTATTAGGGATATACTTAAGTACGACGTATATAGAGTATCCCCATATATTGAAGATTTGGAAAGTACAATATTACTACGTTATACTTAGTGCAATGACACGCCTGAGCGGGTACCCTTATGGATACTTACGCGAATAAGCATTTGGGTCGTCATCCAATATGGTTAACATTAATTACACTACTATAATACAGTGAAACCTGGTTAAGTGAGAAACTTCTATTATTGGGAGTTGTAATGAGGTCCCGTTACGTCATTGAATTACCTCAGTTAATGGGAACTTTTACTATTTTAGAGGTTCTAATGAGATTTGAATTCTAAGATTTTTTCGATGTGTACCTCTATAATTCTAGGTAGCTCAATTCCCTGTATAAGTGAGACAAGTTAATCAGATTAGGACAGGTTTTGACTCGTTTGTTTACATACATTTGAATGTCTTTTTCACATGCTTTGTTTGTCAGTACAACTTCGGGGTTTTCCATCTCTGAAAATGGAAGAACGGTACATTTCGACCTCTATAAGCGGAGCCTTTGAAATCAGACAACTATAACATTAAAGCTGCTTAATTCGAAAACTGGCTTAATGGAAACCTTATAATTGGTACTTAATTCTTGGTCCTTTGAGATCCCAATTAACCAGGTTACACTGTATAATCTAAATGTTGTTAGTAATATGTTAAACCAAACACGCGTCTGGATTTGGGTAATCCAGACATTGCGATATATATATTGATGGCGTGCGGCCCACGATGCCCACCTCTCAAACATCCATTGCACTATGTACATTTGTGGTCCAAATATTCGTATTGTAATACTGTACTAACAGATCTTAACACAAAAATTATGTTGCAGTTCCCCGAAATTCCCGTAAAGAAAGATATATTCGAATATATTTCATTTTTTAACATTATAACGGAATGTCAATATAATTTCTCAATTTAAATTAAATTTAAATGTATCACAAAACAAATACAACAATATGTAAAAAACATAACATTCCCTAGTCAATATAGGAATGAATGTGAAGGCATATATTTATTATATAACTGATAACGGTCCTTATAATGGTTTTTTTATACCACATAGGTGGCAAACAAGCATACAGCCCATATAATGGTAAATGGTTACCGTAGCCTATGAACGCCTGAAACACCAGGGGTACCACGTGCGCGTTACCGACCCTTAAGAAAACTTAATAAAACCGTCTTGAAAAACCCCATGCTGTAGTCTCGTGGGAAAACCTCGGCAGGAAGTTCATTCCACAATCTAAGCTTACGCGGGAGGAAGCTCCTCTGAAACCGCATTGTTCGGGACCACTTAGGTTTCAGCGTGTGGGGATGAATTCCCTGTCGATGGCGAGCGGTGCGGTGGTAAAAGGTGGTCGTCGGCATCATGTCGAAAAATTCCTCAGAATACAGTCATTTGGTTTATGACAATCGTCATTCTTATATTTCATAAACAGCACCAACGACATGTGATGACCCTGGTGCCTCATACAGTTCTATACTAGAGAACCAAGCTGTTATAATTTTAATATATTTTATTCAGATAACTTAGGATCTGAATCTAAGTTATTTGAATAAAAAATATATACATATCTATATGTTGGTAACAGTGAAATTAAGCCTATCTTAAAATTCCTACAATTATAACATTATTTAAGTGCCTTTGTAACAATCTAGGTATAAAAATAATGAATGGCTATTTATTACACAGCGTTTCACAATACTGTTATTGCTGTCTATCTGCTTATATTATTACTATCAGAGTTCGTTTATGTATGTTGGTAGGTATATAGATTTCTCTGAAGGTATACCGGTCGTCAAAAGATGCTAACAAACATTGTGGATGCCCCCATCGCAACGAGTCAAACATATAATTATTACGAAAAAATCTTTTTTTATTTATATATTAAAACGTCAATGCACAATTATATAAATAAAAGTGCAAATGGCGGACTTAACACATTGATGCATTTATTCGCAGTCAACTATTTTGCCAACAGAGATTTATCAACATTTGAACATTATTTTGGATATGTAGAGCGCCGTATGCCTGTTGTATTACCTTACAAGCTGTAGAAACATTGACAATAATCTTCAAATACTTATTTTTACGTCAGTCGAACCTGAAAATTCATCTGTATATTGTACCTTTACTGCCTTATCTGTCAATACAAACAGTAATACAGATTATAAAGCAAACAGCTTGGCGGCAAAAGTTAACGGGGGTAACTATGTAGACGACTACTGCAGTTGGAAATTACAGAAACAATGTCTTCAACCGTAGTACCTAAACTACATGAAAATATTCGTTTGTTAGTTATAATTTTATACACACCTATACTAATTTAGAGAAATAAATGTATCAAAAGATGGTTATACTTGTATAAAATAGTAAAATACTTAACATATCTATATAAAGCTTATACAAATTGATAAAAAATCTTATTACATTGAAATACATAAACAGAAATGTACCAAACCGTTACAATAGTAATTATCTATTGGATATTTCCACGGCTTTATTCAGAATTAAGGATACGTCCATTGGCGGGAAATTTTGCAATAACTTCACATTTGACGCGAAGTCGCCGCTAAGCAAGTTGTCCCTTACTAATCTGTATAAAGAAAAGAACAATGTATCAATTATACCACATTAAATCGGCAATAAATATATCACAGTAAAACTTAATCATTTTGACATCATATTGTTTGTTAACTGCTTAGTTTTTGTTGTTGTCAAAATTACTGTTCACTGGTCGAGATATATATACCATATATTTATAAATAAAAATTATGTGTAACGTTGTTTGCCCGCGATGGACTCCTGAACTACTGAACCGATTGCAAATTTGATTTGCACATTGTGTGAAATTTGATCCAACTAACGAAATATAGGATAGTTTACATTTAAATTTATAGTTGCAATATTATTTTACTGTAAATTATTTTCATATATAAAGAAACTGTTAGCCACAGCAAACCGTGGCCGGATGTGCTAGTATATAATATAATGTCATTGGGGTGAAAGGAGATTGTTAGTAATGTGGACAAACGATCTTATTGCTAATAATGTACCATGTTAAGTTAAACTCCACGAGGTCCCCTGGAAAACATCGTGATAAATTCTTGGTGAATTTGTCACGATGGGATAACTGACTTGACCTCATGGTCATCTTATCATCCTGCACAGGTACCCTGCCAGAGTAAACCGTTAGCGGAGGTGCACCCTTTAAATGATCATCCATAAAAATATATAAAATAATTTAAAAAGTATACTTACAAAATCATGGCACAGCAGATGTATATGAGAAAATTAAATCGCTGCTTGTCAGCAAATAATGAATCCCAAATCCTTTCGACGTCAGGCAGTGAAAACTCTTGAGAAAGCAACAGTGTTAGCCACCTGGAAATACGTTCACAGTATTATACCACTATATTTATAGACATATAATTCAAATTCAAAATATCTTTATTCATGTAGGTTTCTTACAGACTGTTATGATACCTCAAATCTACCGTCAGTACGGAATTATTTCGAGATGAGAAGAACTGCCAAGAAACTCAGCTCGTATTTTTTTTAAATGTATTATATATACATAATTACAATAATACAGATTCATTTAAATTCAAATTTGGGAGAATAGAGTGACCACCAGCAGATGCTATTAAAAAAAAAAAACAAAACAAAAAATCTAATCAGTGTTCGTAACCTGAACAGACCAGTCCCCATAAGCAGCACCCGTTCACGAGTATGAAGGATGAGCCAGCCATCATTGCACTCAATCTTACAACCATAGAACACCCAATCGAGGGTGCACTCCCTATAACCCGTCATAGTTAAGTTTATTCTCATTTTATGCAAATCACAATCCATGCATCTTTTTCTTCGGTCGTCCTCTTCTTTTATATCTATCACTTCATTTTTTATATTATAAACCTTATTTAAATTATGTACTCATTCCCCTGCACGACATGGAAAATGTATTATTAATATAGTTAAACGAGTTTTAAAATGAATAAGTTAGTATTAAAACTCTAGTATTTATCTCTATCCTGCTCTCTTGAGAGAGAGAGAGAGAGAGAAGTTAATAGCAATTACCTTTATTAAATAAAATAGGTAGACAATTACTACTAAATGAAGGTAAATACGTTAATTTGCCATAAAATTATTAGTGTTAAAACCCGTTTAACTATTTTAACAATGTGTTTAAAATAAATATGTCAAATGTTATATTTTTAATATTTATGTTTAAACTAAAATATAATAAAACATTGTCCCAATCACTATATGTGCAATGTAAATCACCGTTGATTACACCGTTATTATATTATTATGCGTAGAACATACCTGAAGCTGTAATACTGGGGTCGTAACTCCTGCGACTCCAGCTGATCCCATATAGAGGGGTCGTTTTTCTTTACACACTCGCACAATTTGCCCATCATGTAATTGATACCGCTTTCCGTTTCATCCAATGTACGTATGAAGAAGTCACGAATCTCCGACATCAGGTTGGTGAAGCAGAAAAAACAATCCGCTTCTGCATGCTCTACAAACATTTAATTGTACTGGCACCATTCAATATAACACTATGCTGTTATTGAAATTATAACTTTAAATTTGATATATAATAATCTGACCCCGCAAACGCTGTTTCGTCATATAAATTAAAATCACTGTTAAATTTTTTTAAAGCCATATAATAAAAAAAATATAAATGTCCACAATTAAAACAATATTTTAGGAGTGGACAACCTTTATCACTTAGGGGTATGAAAAACAGATAGTAGCTGATTCTCAGATCTACTGAATATGCATATAAAATTTCATAAAAATCGGTCAAGCCGTTTGGTAGAAGTACGGTAACTAACATTGAGACACGAGAATTTTATATATAAGAAGATAATTGTTAACTGAGTTGATTTATAATGATTATTTCTTTTACTCAACTTCCTTATTCAAATATTGGGTCTCCCCAATAATCGCATATGGGCAATTAATGCATTTTTTACAATTAGTAAAAAATTTTTAAAAACATAATATCGTCCGGTGAAGCTGTAAAGGCTAGCTACAGCCAACAGCATTAGACAGACGCTCCATAAGTCCCTTCCACGGGTATGGAGTGCCATCTGCACTCGCCCCCTATCGTCCGATGAAGCTGTAAAGGCCAGCTGTGGCCAACAGCATTAGAGTAGTCCGAAAAAACACTTATTAATGTTGACGACAGTAGAAACAAGTGAAGTTAAAAAACAATGTATGTTTTTGTAATTTTTAGAATATTAGACGTAAAGTCTTAATTATTCTGCTTAAATAAACTAAATTTTGACACAATTCAAGAGAAAACACGATCGCACTACTCCCTTCGCAACCAATTGTGTAATGAAGCTGCAAAACGTGTAACAGGTGGAAAACAAAAATGGACCTTGATGTTTGTTTCCAAAACATGACACTAGGCTACTTGTAGGCCGGTAAATGCACATTTGTGCTATAGCCACAGCATCCAAAAGCGACCATTTCGCTTTAGACGGCTACAAACGCAAGTATCCGTCAACATGTTAAGATATCTATTCGTTAGTTGGGTCGATATTATCCCTTGAAACTACAGTTGTCCCAGACTTCCTTGTAAATGTACCATAAAAACAAATTACGGTAAAAAAAACTATAAAGTATTTCATATAGCTACATATATCTTATATAGTTGTATTATACTTACGCCGGTATTCTTTATCAGAATCTATGGCAAAAGTGTGGTAAATAGGGCCTATGATCTCGTTCATCCCCTGCACATAACCCTGACCGGGGTTCAGCTTCGCGTAGAGAAACAACATCCGTTCCACGACCTCCCAGTGCGCTTCACATCCTTCGTTCAATGGCACGTAGTCTCCGCCAGATATGTCCGAACGTCTGATCTCGTTGCTTAACTGAAAGAAGGTTACTATGTTTTATGTGTTCGATATCAACCAGAGAATATGTACGTACGGCGAGGGTAGGGGATTGTTAGTAATGTGGACTAATGATCCCATTGCTAACAATGTACCATGTCGGGTCGACCTCCACGCGATTCCCCCTGGAAAATATCGTGATAAATTCCCGCTAATTTGTCACGTTGGGCTAATTGACCTGACTTCATGTTCATCTTATCATCCTCTACTGGTGTCCCGCGAACGTAAACCGTTAGCGCAGGCGGGTGGACCATTTCATTTGTACGTAAGAATAAATATACAGGAACAAAGGTAAGCATGAATTATTGAATTTAAGTTTATTTTAATGAATACCCTACTAATTTATATTTATTTAAAATAAATTGCTCCAAGAAAATGTATATTACATTATTTACACATATTTTTACTAATCTCAAGCTAAGTTGTGAATAATAACCAGTTGCGGATAAAAGCTAAACAAAAAGATATATTTATATATTATTTTAATAATAAAAATCAATTAATTATTAAGTCTATTATTATTATAACTTTCTACTACATTTACTTGGTACCATTACGTAAATAATAATTAATAGATCTTCTGTTTAAAATACATTTTATATATATATGTTGGACATTCTTGTCAATGGTGAATTGTATTTGTATACAGTTATGTATATAATATACATAACTGTTTTTTTTTATTAAAATCGGTGCTAAAGAGACATGTGGTACTACAACCTGCATAAATATATTGTGCTCGCCCAAAATGAAATTTTACCAAAATTACAATGTGTTTTTGGTAAAAAGTACCAAATGTTACTTTCATGTAGGTTTACATTTTTCTTTTTGCACATTAGAATAGATGTAACAAATAATATGTATGTATATTAGTGTGTATGTTCATACCTTTGAAACGCCGAGTCCTCGTCGCTCCAAAGTTGAATACTTCAATACGGATCGCTCCACCCTCTTATGAAGTCGTTTAACTCCATTACTATTAACTATCTGTAATACATATATATATTTATTTTTTTCATTGCTTCTTTGTTAGTTGTATATATACAGTTTATAAGTTTGATGGATTAGCTATATGATAGATATGAAGAAAATTTGAAGTTTATTAACTAATTACGGAATTTATATTAAAACACTATCTGAAATCATATTATTCAAATGCAAATTAAATAATTTATTCATTTAGGAACGTAAAACAATTTATATTATATTTTTCCCTGCAGTTCTGTTCAGTATATAGATCCAATTGAAAAGAACTGGCAGGAAATTAAATTGAATTACTTTTTTATTTAAAGCCAATTTATTTATAATATACTACACTTTCAAGCTATATACAAGCTTTATTGTTTTTCTGATGAGGCCTATTTAGGCGAAACGAGTCTCAATAAGGGTGTGGACAGTAGTAACAGTCGGAAATTGATCACTAATAACGATAGTAATACTTCTAGTAGTAGTCAGACCTCACTGAACATCTGTGGTCATCCATACTAATAGCAGAGGAAAAACTAAATAATATCAATCTACTGAGTAATGAAATTAATTTCAACAAAATAATTACCGCAATAAAATAATAATATCTATAATGAATGAAAATATAAAAGAGTAATATGTAATTATATCTATATATAAATTGGTTTCTTTAATCATATTTGTACGCGTAATTGCAGAAAACATTGAAATTTTTTATAGTAAGATATTTATAACCTGCACTTCACAAATAAAGAATTTGAATTTGAATAAAATCATTTTATTTATTCTAAGATCTTTCACAAATGAAATTCAATTAATTTTATCAAGTTCAAACTATACCAATAACTCAAGTTGAATTAAAAAAAAAAAAAATTTGCAACAAACATTCAATTGTAAATGTATATATTGTACCCATATATGTGCTCAGTTTATCTTCATACGGGATGATACGATCACATCTGTTGCGGCAGATTACAATACTCATTATGTATTAAGTATTGTAACCTGCCGCCCGAAAACACAAAACCACTACCGTTTTTACTGCACAACACAAAATTACTAAGACGCTACGAGCATAAATTACAGAATACAACTTTAAGGAAGTGTGTATTATACTATGTACGTTGTAGCATGGTGCGGGTGACAGTTTCATTAACGTTTCTATTCACTCTAAGTGGCCGCGGTTTACAAATTATGACTTAGTATTTCAGTATCAAATTCGTAATATATTAAATCATTAATAACTGTATTAACTTAAATGTAGCAATTGTTAAATGTAAAATTAGTGACAGTCAGCCGCACCATGTCACAGCGCACAGAGTATAGTCGACGCCGGTCGATTTTAGGATTGGGTAACTCCCTGCTACATGCGCACAAACGAATTGTGTGCGGGGGAAGGCGAGATGATTGGACATTTGACACTTCTTTTTACACCTGTTTTCAAATTACGTCTAATACCTCTAACTTAGGTACAACTTATATCGCTAGTCTCATTGATATCGAAAATTCTGTAGTTTTATTTAAAGTTCGTAATATTTACCATATTACCAACTTTAAATGACCCGCGATGATATAAATAAGGGATTTCTTAAAATTTGCACTGCTCTTTTCTTTGTAACTTTTTAAATTTATTATTTATTTAGTTATAAAGAAAATATAAAAAATAATTCAAATTATACGACAAACTAAATATCTTTTTAATAAATACTAGCTGTGCCCGCGGTTTCATCCGCTTGAAATTTATAGCCTATATTCTGATGTATAAGCTATACGTATTACTGTAAAGTTTCATCAAAATCCGTTCAGTAGTTTTTGCGTGAAAAAGTAATAAACATCCATCCATACTCACGAACTTTCGCGTTTATAATATTAATAAGATTATGTACATGGTTATAGCGGATATTATATTAATAGTTCTTCTAAATAGTTATATAGTTTTGGTATTTTTTTATGGAAGAATTTTGTTCAGATTTATTAATATAATGTGAAGTTAAAAAAACCAGATTTTAATGTTAGAGAAATATCTATGAACAATATTATCATAATAAAAAAAAAATAGCATATAATAGAAATTAAAGATTGTAATAGCTTATATTTCTCAAAATTTTAGCTTTTATTGAATGAGTATTTACGTAAAAATTTCCTTAGGTTATTGAAAAAAAACTAAAGAGTAAAATAAACAAAATACCTCTGGACAAGGGAATTCTGTGGCAGATTGAAAGAACGATATATCAGGGCACAATCTACGGACATCTTTATCGATTTGCAGCAACACTTCATTGTCTTTGAAGTAAGTACTCCAAGAACTATCTGGACTGATGTTCAAGGGATGGTCACTCGGACCACCGGGCGATACTATAATTTCATCTAAAAAATAATTTTGGCGTTATTTTTTTTTTCTTGAAATTTATTCATTTTTGTTTGACTTCATCCTCAATAATATAAGGACACTCTAGTAGTACCTAGTATTAATATATAATGAAACTTGTATTTGTACAATGTAATTGTTGGCTGAAAGGAAATTTCCAAGGCCGTAAAAATACTTAATAAAAAAAAAGTAATTGGAAGAAAAGCTGGCCGGTGGCCCACTGGTTAAGTGACAATCGCCTTATATGCATGCACTGCACTACAGACGTCATGTCCGACATAAACTGCTTGACGACTAAAATAAGTTAGATCTGTTTAACTTATTTCTCATGCAGACAACTTTCTACAACCTTTAATTTATTTATTTATTGCAGGCAACTAGGCCCATATTATAAATACCTTATAGACTAACATACATATACTTTAATATTTAAAAACTAATATCTTGATATTGTCTGTGTGTTCACGGCACTGAAGACGGCAATCTGCCACAGTAGCGCCGATATACCACACCTTTCGGCCTCCTCCATCATGAAGGTGGGCAGCGCGTTGGTGGTGACCCGGGTCACAAACGCATTGAAACTCACGTTGTGGCTCGACTCCAGCTGCGTCACCCTCAATGTCAGTTCAATTACTCTTGGTTCGTATATAATCGACAATGTCCTGCTTCTTATTATAATATAATATATATAATTTATGTACCTACTAATCTTAAGAGCTGAGGTGATGTATATTTTTGAGTTTCTGTTTTTGTTATTACAGTAATCCTCCCTATAATGCGGTAGATTGGTTGTGCGTTATAGGAATAAGCGTTGTAGAAGTATTCCCGTATAACGCATTATTACGAATAATGTTTAGTTACGTATAAATTACTCACGTTTAATTTTTATGGCGAATAGAATAGAATAGAAAATCATTTATTCAAACAAACTTACATTGAAGCATTTTTGAATAGTCATTACATTTTTTTAACCTACCGCTCATTCGGAAAGCTGTCTCTTCAGAAGAAGACCGAGAAAGAAACTTGCGTGTTGCTCTTTTAAATAATTTTATATTACTTTACATTTTTAAGTTTAAGTGTGTGAATACAAACCACCAATTAGCACTAATTCAATTAAATACTCAAATAGAAAAAATATTAAATATATAACCAACTGGTTAAACAATTACTAAGAGGAAATCAGTGTTAGTGATAGTGATATGCGATTTGAGTGATAGCGAAAAATTAAACGTGAGTAATTAAATCGAATATTCATCGAAATTCACCGAAAAATAAACTATTAACATTCTAAATAAAAAACATATTCACAAATAATAATGAAATCAACATATTCAACATGCACAAATAGAGTCACTTAATAGTTTTACAGTAAAGAAATATATTTTTTTATTTATACCGCTGTATTGAAATCCGTGTAATATGAAAATGCGTTTTAAGAGTACCCTGTTATAGGGGGGATCACTGTATGTAGACTCTTACACCCATAAGAGCATATCCTTAAGTCAATACACTAAATACAACAAATACATTTTTACCAATAAATTGCTTGTAAAGCTGCCTCTTCTTGATAAGGGTTACCTCTCGTGCACTTTTCTCGTGTGGTAAATAATGCAGTAGTATTTTCCACACAATGGAACGTAATCCTTTATCATCCGGGACACCTACGTAATAAGCACATAAATATTTTAGTGTAAGTTATGCATTTTATAAATAAAAGATTTTTATCCGTCTCGGTATAGGAATGATGTCCTCATTGGTCCAGCCGTTTAGTTATAATCATGAGTATGTTATATATCACTACTATAAATTATAATTGGATAATGAGAAAATTTATTCTAGTAATACTATTGGCGAAGATTATTAATTGGCATACGACAATTTAATATGACTCATTTCATTAATTCATTCATAATTTAAGAGCTACGCTCTTGTCGGTGGAGCTCTTGCCACTTTCCGCGATCTTCCATCATGCTCTTTAATTCTTGATACGACACGACTTAATATGACTAGTTACATCTAAAAAATTACACTGTTAATCTTCCTAAAATAAATAAAATAAATCAGTTTGGGTGTTTTCTATATATATTATGTATGCATTTACAAAAAATAATGTATTTACATTTATCAGTATATAGTTGTCTAGTACCCATAACAGGCTCTGTTTAACTTGGAACTAGATGGCGCTGTGTGAATTGTTCTGAGATATAATATTATTGACAATAGGACACCTATATTTTCATACTATTAGTCAATAAAGCTATTTTACTATAAATAAGTATATTATACTTATTTATAGTAAAATAGCTTTAGTAGTTATAAGTGTATATGGAAAGGAATTATTACCATTGAATGCAAGTTTCCTCAATTGAACAATATCTATTACTTCTTGGTCGAGTATTTCTTCAAAAGCTTTTATCCTGAAACAAATAAAGTAAAAATTTATGGCAGATATTTTATGGCACAATAATATATATAATTCCAAAGTGTTTATTTGTTAATCACAGATAGGGTTAGAATCTACAACCTGAAGCTGAAAAGACACATTTGAATCCTATTGAAAATATTATGCTTTGTTAAAACAGAACCATAATAGAAATGGAAATAATATTTATTCAAATAAACTCAGTACAAGCACTTTTGATTTATCATATTTTTGAAATATGGTTAATTACACAGTATGAGAATTTATATCACATTTATATCATGATAATTTCAGATTGTTGAATACTAGAAGTTATGTAACAATACTTCAAGAATTGCTACATATTAGGAGTTATGGAAGAATGATTAGGAGTCAAGGAAGAATTAAAATAACTATCAATACTTTAATTTGAAGTTATATAGAACCAGCGCAAAAGGTTGACTTTAGTAATCTTAATTTCTTTCAACAATTACAAACCATTTCAGACTGATACTATGTATTTCATATCTTTGATATAATTTGAATGATTCTCATTAGATAAATAATTAAAATTTGTAGCTGAGAAATAATGTCTTTGTGATAATTTGAATGAATTCTCGTTAGAAACATCTAACGAGAATTCATTCAAAAAGAAATGAGATTATCTCTCAGCTACGAAAGTTAACTAAACATAGTTAACTTTCGTAGCTGAGAGATAATCTCAAAGAATGGTCTTATAAAACAGAGATTTAAGAGATAGATAGATAAGAAAACGGGACTGGTTTAAGATTCTTTTCCAGTATACTTTATGCACAAACATGTGCAATATTTTCCACTATATCATTTTGTTTATGACTCATGATTACCTCAAGATAACCTATTTTATATTTACACTATTATCTTAAAAACAGGTCCCTCAAATTGTATTCATTAATATTAAATAATAAGTAACATAGATAAGATGAAATTGAATTGCATCATAGGAATTGAATTCAGATAGAATATAAATATGAAATGTAAACTTTTTATAGCCAGCTACTAGATTCTTGAGCTGTATTTTAGTTAGAATAGTCATATATTTTTTTGTATAAACTACTATGTTGTATGTTTTACCTGTCAGCTGTAATCAGTATTTCATTGCCAAAATTTGGCAATGAAATACTGAAGGCATGTATTTATGTATGGAATGGTTTTGTATACACAATTAAATATAAATATATATACATATATGTAATATGTATATATATTTAACTTTAATTGCCCCAGGATTAGAAAAGCCCGTGTAATGGGAAGAGGAGGAGATGAATAAGAAGAGTTATATTTAATTGTGTAGGTTTGATAACAATATTATATATGCACCATCTATCATGACTAACAGGGACATACCCTGTAAGGTATAACAATACAGCAGTGTTAATACAAAGAAGGTACACCATGTATTCTGTGAGCTTATCGTAAAATAAAATTATAAACTCGAAATGTTGTGAGTATGGATGTTTGTTACTCTTTCACGCAAAGACTACTTAACAAATTTTTGATAAAATTTTACAGTAATATGGATTATGCATCAGAATAACATATAGAGTATATTTTTTATTTAAATTTAATGTGACACACCTAGTTATGCACCTATAAAGGTGAGGAATACTGATTTCTATAACCTTATTGCTAGCAATGTACCATGTCAGTTTGACCTCCACACGGTTCCCCCTAGAAACCATTGTGGCTAATTCCTGTTTATTTAATCACGATCTAACATCCTCCCCTGGCATCATTCCATTATTAAAAAAAAACGAAAAGATCCATGTCAATTTTGAGTAGTAAGGATACGGCCCTTCACTACACTCGGATTTCCGCTCGGTTCGGCATTCAACGACTCGTTTCGCTCACTGTTGACCTGCGCTCCGAGTGAGGACCTCCATTGCGAGCCTTCTGGCTTCGCTTTTTAAAAAAGTTTAAAACGAAAAACAAAACGTCGAGAGGATGTTAAAAGTGTTTTCCAAAGATAAAAACACAATTATTTTCACGTAATTTAATTAATATTTCAAAAATTATTAACCCTAAATCTATGACTTTCCGTAAGTTGAAATTTTAGGAGTAGACTAACAAAAACAAATACTATTAAAAATATTTTTTTCTTAAATGGATTGTATAGATTGTACAGGTAAGCCGTTTTAGCAAACAAGACATAAATAACCTTACATTAATAATTGAGTGAAAGTGTATGATATAACAGTCCAATGTTGTTAGAGCACAACAATCCCATTAATAATGTGTAAGAGGACAGATTTACAATTAATTGATTTATTTAAACACAAATAACAATAAAATAAAACTTAACTATCCTATGACATTTTTAGGGCGTAATCACATTCAGTTATATTACAGTTTATATAAAATAATTGTTGGATTTAACAGAAAAACTTCATTTAGAAATTAAACCACATATTAAAAATTAAATATTACCTGGCTTTATGTAAACTCATGGTGCGTGCAACAGTTTGGTCTTAAATATATTTCATGAGAACAAAAATAAAAATTGATATGAATATGTGTAAGCCGTAAATATAACACAATATACATGAATTACAGAGTAAACTCAAATAACTTTTAACAAACAATAAGTTGCTCTTTTCTTTCTTTAAATTAATCTGTGACTTACATGTGTTGCCAGATGACTTATTACAAGCACTTTGATTTTGTGAAATTAACTAACCTCTTCTATGGGGGAGAAGACACCCATTATCAGTAATGGGGAATAATAATTGTATTACTAATAATGTAATATAATTTACCGTGTTAGCTTGATCTCCATGCGCTCGTCCTAACCTAAGCGATTGTTTGGCTGAAAGGGAATTCCAGGGCCGTAAATCAAATTAATAAAAAAAACTAGAACTAGAGTTGGAATGTATTGGTATCTGGAAAACGTACTCAATAGTTTTTTTTTCAGTTATTTTATCATTTCTGATTATTTTATTTCGTAATATATATTTCTGTTGCTAATTTTAATTAAAATATCAACAGAGTGATCTGTAAATTACTGTTTAGTTATGAATAATAATTTAATGTCCACGTGTCTGTCTAATTATGACTAGAATTGTATTTTACCCAGGATAATTCACACAGTATTACGAAATCCTAAACTCACTAGAGTTTGCTCTAAACAACTGAAACATATTGTTTTGTTTTCTAAATAGATTTATAATATACATTGAAAATACCCAGACTTATACGAATAATAAAAACTCACGATTATGTTACGGGTGCATAGGGATGTAAAAGAAACATTTAGAATTTAACTTCTATTCTAATACAATAAATAGGTAACACATAATAACAATCAGATTCCTTAAGCATAAAATACTTTTGTGACTAAATAACTGTAGTATCTATGAGGAACTTCTGCAATAGGTTTACATGAAGTCTAAGTAAATTTTTGTAAAGTTATAATAATATAAATATTAATATAAAAAGTAACAATATAAAAAAGGTAGATATTAAACACAATAGAAAATAGACGAGGAAAAATGTTAGAATACTTGATACGGCACGATGATTTCATGAAAATTATTATTGAGGAGAAAATAGGAGGAAAGAGGGGGAGGGGAAGACCAAGGAATAGTTACATTAAACAAATTGAGGACAAAATGGGAGTCGTGTCGTATCAAGAATTAAAGAGCATGATGGAAGATCGCGGAAAGTGGCAAGAGCTCCACCGACAAGAGCGTAGCTCTTAAATTATGAATGAATGAATGACTATGTCATAATAATGATATAATAATAACTATGAACATGAATAAATAACAACGATAAATGACAGAGGATATTATCTATCTGTTATTTATGACTTTTTGCACCACTAAACTGGAGTCGGTGTTGTCAGATCATTATTTTGCTATTCCCCAAACTGTAATACTCCCTCCCTTGTTACAGACATAATGATAACTTGCTCAGTGTGTTAACCTTTATCATAACCACATCTCCCCGTTTGTCAGCAAAATTTGTTTAATCCGAAATAATTGTGGTTGATACATGAATTAATACATAACTAAAATAATTACATTTATAAGTCTAGAACATAGCTGTTGATAAAATATTGATAAATAATTATCAAAACGCTGTTAGGACAATACTTGTTATGGTTTGATAGTAAAGTACCTATCAACAACTTTGACCTCAATTCGAGTTTGTATCAAATATTAAGATCATTTGAAATATTTTCTTTTGTATTAGGTACTTTTGGAACAATAATAAAAATATGAAGTTGAAAGTCTTTAAATACATTTAAACAGACTTACATAAAAATAAGAAGTTTTTTGCATCCTAACTGGCACTTAAATACTACAAGTATTATTAATAAATGAAATACTCATAGGTATAATGTTTTGGAAGAAAGTATAACAAACATAAGTAATGATAGGTAGATATGCAATTACAGAAAATTCTGTGCAAATATATTTTGAATCATGGTCACCTATTCATAATGAGATTCTATTATGGATTAATTAAGTACAATTTTGTCAATTAACTAATACCAAATAACAGGGGAGAAAGAAATTATCAGTAGATAATGTGGACTAATAACCTCATTGCTAGCAATGTACCAGGTCAGATTGCCATCCACGCGGTCCTCGTGGAAACCGTCATGGTAAATCGCCATTTGCCAAGATGGCTAACTGACTTGACTTTATACTCGTTCTATCATCCTCCACTGGTACCCCGTCAGCGTAAACCGTGAGCGGAAACGAGTGCACTATTCCTTTCATCATTGCCTTGCTTTTATTCCTTTCCATCCATCCACGTTCATATTATATACACTTTCCATAAGACATGATCCTCGTTCCTCCGCATAACATGCCCGTACCAGCTTAATCTGTTACCTCGTAACTTGTTTATAACTGGCGCAACTTTCAAATCATTTCTTTATCATCCATAAAAATAATACCAAATAACAAAACTACTTACAGGTACATAGGTTATCGATATATTAACATTAGGTAGAGAATAAATTACTTTCAGCCTGGGAAAATTGCATAGTTATCTATTGTAGTCACTACGCCATTTATTATTATGTCAAAGAAGGTAGTCGTTACTTTATGAATGTAGAACACCATAATTGCAGAAATACCTTCAGCTGCCTTACGTAGAATAGTTACGTACAATATGTATATGATTTATCCAGTACCTAATGAATAAATTAATAGCTTTAACTTCCCATAAAGAATGGGGAACGGTGGAGAGTTTAGACCTATAGCCTCCTGGCTATAACTTCGATCTCAACAACCTTTGCCCTGTTTCCTCGGAGCCTACTAAGTGAAAGATGCCTGAAGATGGTTAGGTAAACGTCATAATCCTTGACTGGCCAGACTATAGTTATTTCTAAACTTCGTGTTTAATATACAGTATTTATATTATTAACCGGGTCTTAATAAGAATAATTTTATGGCAAATAAAGGTTCAGTCACTTATATTTGCAATAAAATTGTTCGTATACATAGACCAGGTTAATAATATAAATAATGACCAGGCTATATTTACATATTCCAATATATATCTATTATCTAAATATATATAACTCGAAGGTGACTGACTGACATAGTGATCTATCACAGTCCAAACACTGGACGCATCGGGCTGAAATTTGGCATGCAGGTAGATGTTATGACGTAGGCATTCGCTAAGAAAGGATTTTAATTAATTCTGTCACCAAAGGGATAAAATAGGGGATGAAAGTTTGTATGAAACTTTGTCAATTTTAAACCAATCGGGATGAGACGTAGGCTTATGACGTAGGCATCCCCTAAGAAAGGATTTTGATAAATTCCACCCGTAAGGGGAAGCCGCGGGCAAAAGCTAGGTATGTAATAAAGCATTGAAACTATTTGTATAGATGTTTAATCTCAAAAACGGTACAAATCAAAAATATGTAAGAACTATATCAATAATATATAGAATTGAACTTAGAAGAGATACCAGGCCCTTATTCATAGCTTGATTTTGGTATGAGGTTTCAATATAAAATTCAACAAAAGCCAGTACAGCGCATATAAAGTTTAAACCGATAGCGGTGCTTAGAAATAAACATTCAACGAATCTGTCCGAGTCCAAATATAATCCGGCGTCAATAAGTAACCCTAATGTAATTGCAATGTATCCGCCATAAATTCCCGACATTATGAAATGGTTCGCCGAATTCAAATTCTGACTCTCCGTGTTGTAAAACAAACCCAGCACCATCATTATGAAGGTTAACCCTCGGAGACACATCTGTACCATTTTATAAGTCATTATATTTTTATTTTATATTGTATTTGTAGTTCTACATTACATTTGAGTTCAACTTCTTCAGTTTTAGTTATTAATTTAATTTTGTCTTCTTAATTCTTACTTTATTTGCACTCCTGTGAACTATACCCCACTTTCTGTGTCACGCTGTTTTGGATTGACTGGAAAAGATCTCTTATAGAGACATCTATAAGTCTTTAAAATTTGTAACAAGTATTTAAAAGTGCAATAAAGTACATATTATGATATCATTCGTTACAATAAGAAAATATAAAAATAATATTAAAGATCATCAAAACCTAGATATATGTCACTAAATACAGTAAGGCCAGTTAAAATGTCAATTGTCGATCTCGTTATTTGAATATCGCGAAATAATATAGAAGATTACGAACTTTTTATTTTTATTACATATTAGAATAGAATAGAATAGAATAGAATAGAATAGAAAATCATTTATTCAAATAAACTTACATTGAAGCACTTTTGAATAGTCATAACATTTTTTTTTTTTTTAATCTACCGCTCATTCGGAATGCTGTCTCATCACAAGAAGAACAAGCAAGAAACTTGTGTGTTGCTCTTTTAAATAATTTATTCTTACTTACAATTTAAGTTTAAGTGTGTGAATACAAACCACCGATCAGCACCAATTCAATTAAATACTCAAAAAGAAAAAAATATTGAATACATAACCAACTGGTTAAACAATTAATAAGAGGAAATCAGTCATAGTGATTAGAGCAGACCAGTCCCTACAAGCAGCACCCGTTCACGAGTATGACGGATGAGCCAGCCATCACTGCGCTCGACCATATTTTAGGGAGCCCAATGACCCGGCCCACCACGCCGCCACAAGTCTGGACATTTTAGTGAGCATGACTACTCAAAACACCAGACCACGTCATAGCTACTCACAATTGCCATCTGATGTTTATAGTATTCAATTCTTATATTCTTATTCTCGGCAAACATCGTTTTGCCATATAAAAAAATAGAGATTCATGATAGAAGGGTGATTATTTAGGGTTGTATGTATTTTGAATGCCACATTATATAAAAAAATAAAAATAAAACATTGTCGAAAAGAAATATGTTTTTGAGGTGAGCCACCCTTAACACTTAGGGGTGTAAAAATTTGTTATAAACCTATTCTTAGATCTACTGAATATACATATAAAATTTCATCAAGTAAAAACGAGAATTTTATATATTAGATGCACCTAATATTATAAAATATTTTTTGCCGATATTAAAAACTGGTTTTATGTTTTTCTGCTCAATAAATACCTCGGTAATTATATATCAAAAAGAAGGCAAAGGACGCGTTAATCTACTTCGTGGGCGTACGTAGAGAGTATCGTATATCGTAGACTTTACCAGGGGCGTAGCTACCGTATCTGCCGTATCAATTATATGGGCCCCCGTGGCCCAGAGACTCCAAGCGTAAGCAAAAATTAACTTTCCAAATATTTTTCTATTTTACAAATGACAAAAGTCATAAAAAGCAATTTTTTTTTTCATGTGATGTGATTCAATAAATCAGTTTGCCGAAAAAAGGCGAGAGTACATTTAATTTGAATTTTTTGTAAAAAAATTGAAAAATGTTATAGATGATTATGATGAATAAATATTTCTTTTAATATTATGCAACAATTTCTGTCTTTTGTTTTAAATTAAAAATTATAAAGATTTAAAGACACATGACGGACAGACAGCGAGAGCGACTTTGTTTTATACTATGTAACGATTTTATATTATATATTTATTTGTTTGCAGAATACAGTGTTTCGTGTTATTTGTGATAAGTCTTTACCCTTCGTAAGGGCCCCCAAACAAACTTTTATACGGGGCCCCGCCAAGGCACACTACGCTTCTGGATTTTGTTTATTCTATTCAGTGCATGGGTGTTATCTACACCCCATGAGATGTATTTTCGTATACATTCACCCATGCACTGAATAGAGTGGCGGTGCATTGTCTTTATTTGTAACAGAAATATATCTAATGTGACGTTATTTATAGCTAAACAATATGAAGATATGATCGAGATTAATCGATTAACAAATACTAAAATATGTACATTTATGACACGGTCTCGGTGGTTAACGGTTTAGCACACAGCTTTGTTTCCGATGGTCACGGGTTCGATTCCTCGCACGACACAAACATTTGTATTCATGAGCATTATTATACAAACAATATACAAAACAACGGTCTGGTTGTTTTCTACGTATATTATGTATACGTTACAAAATCAAATATATATTTATATATCCTTGTTTAATACTCATAATACAAGCTCTGCTTACCGTAACTAAATGACGTGGATTGTCCAGAGGTATTATTATTATGAGAATCATATTAAGACGGTATCTCTTTTAAGCCATATGGCTAGACTGAATACACAAAGTATATTCCCATACATGTTGCACTTTCTGTAATGCATTCATAACATGTCTCTTTCAATATCGCATCCCCCATTTATGTTGGAGCCTCATTATACCAGATTGTAAAGACTTTCATCAATTATGCAGTTTAACTACGAAGAGCTAAGAGACGTAGGCAGATGGTTATATAACAGATACTTAGTTAGTAAAAAGGGATTCGTAAATAAACTTAATATGTATATATTTATACCAGTATTGGATTCATTCTGTTTTCTAGCTCTTAAATACACTTATCTTCGCGACAGTGAATAAAATCATTTTAATTTTTACTTATTTGTCGGTGGAAGAAAATTGTGTCTATGATACAGGCTCGGTCTACTATAGATAGTACTAGTAAATTCTCTGTATGATGCGCATTTAATAAAAATAGTTTAACAAAATTGTTGCCAATAAAATGTATTATTATATACACATTTTCTATTACACAGCCGTCGTCTAGATTTTTGATGTCGACAAATTCGAATTCACGAACTTCAGGTCCGTATCGGAGTAATAAACCACTAGGGCACGTCGCTCTCCAATGCAGTATAATATTGATTATGCTCACATAAATCAGATTGGACTGAATAGATTATTTAGTGAATGGAATTTCAATGAGCTCCATTATACACGTGGTAGTAGACTGTATTTCAGGTAGGTACTGACATTATACGTACATAATTAGATCAACTCACATAATTATAAGTAAGATTTTTACAAAACCGAATAAATACATAAATTTTAATATGGATTTACTATTTATTGAGAATTTAGGATTACTATGCACGATATTTACCTAAAATCAAGTATACACATAGTAATATTAAGTTTAGTAGGTACCTATGAAATATAATATATGTATCTACTTAAGTAGCGAATTATTTTTTCAGTCAGTACAAACAAAGGAATGTGTCTATATTTTCTATATATAATAACCCGACAAACTTTGTACCATCTCAAAATTAATACATAAACTTTAATTTAATTTTCTGAATTAAATTCAGTTTTTTTCCATGACATAAACTGAATAATAAAAATAAGTTAAATAGAAATATAAATCAAAAATATTCTAATTACATTAAAATGAATGTAATTCCTGCGACAGCAAGGGATTAACTTTATCGAAGTACATTGAAACGGTTCAGTTTTGTTGTTTGTTGCTCTTTTGCAGCCTTTTATTACGTTTGCTGGATGGTTGACTCTCGGATCGATTCGTCATTTGATCTTTTCATTTGCGGGAATGCATCGAATGCAAATGCAATAACGGTCGAAAACTGAATGAAAATTGGTCAGAAACTGAACGAAAAATGCTGATAAATCCAGGTGCATACTCGATGCTCTTCGGCATCAAAGGGCGGTGCACACAAAGCCGTGTTCATTTTGTCCGTCGCTTTTTCTGTCGTGTATCATAAAAGGCGTCGTACCTATATGGGATTAATATCTTTTTATTACTTTTTCCGTGCACTAGGATATAAAGGAACCTGACAAAGTGGCACTATAAAGGTGCCGTTTTACAGTTTTTTAGTTTGGAATCAAGTACATAAATTTAAAAGAAGTTATGTGCAATAATAGCTCATGTTAGTTTGTATATGTAAAGCCGTAATTTCACATTCAACTGCTCAGCCGCTCAAACATTCAGCCGCTTCCCCTGCCACTCGCGCCGGAAATATTGCCCGGCGACAATATAACGAGAGGGCTGAATATACACACACGCTTCCACTCGCGCTGCTAGTCGAACGCACGCGCGCACGAAAAACAGCATAGAGCACAGGGCAGCGCGAATTGCAGCGCGAATGGCATAGGAAGTATCGTATTTATACTCTCGCGCTTCTCACTGCCCACTCGGGCTGAGTGTAAATTGGGCTAAGACAGTGAACTATCCCGAAATTGACAATTTTAAAGGACAGTTAAGCTCAACGGTGTAATTTAATGCTAACTATTTGTGGCACGACGCCACACAGGTTCTTTGCTTTTGATTATTTCCTGAGCTACGGCTACACCATTAAAATAAGTCATCAAGAAATACATTATCACTGCTGGTTTAGACTCGTGTCAAAACAGTTTGGAAGGTAATTTGTTCCCATGAAGAGGACGACTTCTAATCCAAATGTGTCCTTCTAAATCCATAATTAATTTAATTGTAATTTGAATAAGAGTTATAATGTCTTTCAATATGTCAAATCTTCTCTAACACAGACATAAAGTCTTTGTACACATTTAGTTTTTTTAGAATTGACATTAATGATACAACTAATTTTGGCATATGCCTTCATTTCAACACGATTTCGGATCATGTATTTTATTTTTTACTTAGTTCTTAGCAGTTTTCTATTACGAAACACTCTTTCGACTCAAAAAAATAACACAGACGATAATAAAAATGGACTGTACGATTATTGCAGCCATCCGGATTGCTCTCTGAAGAACCAGCACACAATGTGCATAACTGCCAATAAACAAAGTCCTAGGTTATATGCGTCAGGCATGACAACGTGGATGAGATACCAAATGTTGCTTCTTCATAACCGGCATAGAGATAACATAGCGATGGGTTTAGAAGCGGGGCAACCTCCTGCTACTAATATGCGTAAGATGTATTGGGATTACGAACTCGAAGAAATGGCACAGGTTTGGGCTCGACAGTGTCAAAAACGTCACGATGAATGTCGTAACACAATTAGATTTAACGTTCTTCAAAACATGGATGTGCGTCCGGTCTTACCGAGAGTTACTGAAGCGCAATTGTTAACAGATGCCGTGGATGCATGGTTCTCAGGATCTAGAGTTCTAGCACCAGATCATGTGTGGTCATTTAAACAGACCAATTGCAGTGCTCCGGGAGGATGTAACGCTCATTGGTATTCAGCAGCTGCTTGGGCATCCACTTGGCGCTTAGGGTGTTCTCAAGCTTTGTGCACTACAAAAAAGCCATCCTGCGTACTTTTTCGTAAGAGAAGAAGAATAAATAACCTGGAATCGCGCGATGAAGATCAGAACCTTACTGTCACTAGAACAACAAGCAAGGAGAATATATTAAGACGTACAAAGTATATGACAACTTCCAATTATCCATTTCTTGAAGATTTTGTTGCTACCAAGAAAACAAAAGTCAAAGAGTCACCATTGCATCGTGGCGTTTACGAGAGTGCTAGTAACTATAAAAAAAGAAAGGAACCTAAGATTATAGCATTCACATTTTGCAATTATGGACCGGCTGGGAATGTAGACGGATTTCCTATTTATGAGGCTGGTGCCACGTGCACTAATTGTCCACAGGGTACTCAATGTGGGGATCGGACTCATCGTGCTTTATGTTCTGTCCTCGGCGATCCGGATAGTCAGTAATGACAAAGTTGAAAGAAAATAGTTAATAATTTGTTTCTGCACTTTTAAAGTGATTTTTAAATACTCTAATTACTATTTTTTAATGACTTGTGTTTGTAATAATATCTTTTTATTGCTTTATAGGAATATACAAAAAAAAAATCCTACCTATAGGTAAATAAATAAAACAATGTTAATTTTATCTTCTTTTGATATAATAAGGAAAATATTAATACACTACAAAAAAATTTAATTCTTTGTCGTTGTAGTTAATAATAGTTATGTACCTTATTACATTTTCCTTCCTATTTACAACTTACAGTAGATTTTTCTTCAATTTACAGTATAATTTTCTGATATGCCAAGATTAGTATTTCTTGTGATAATCGAATGTAATTAATGTGATTAATCTATACAGAAAGAAGGTGCGATAAAAGATTAATAGACATACAATATGAAAGAGGACAGGGATAGAACGTTCATTCAGGACACTCGGGCACTCGGACATTGTTCCAAAAATAGTGCAACACTGTACTTCAGAAGGGAAAGAAACGCTATAAATTAGATAGAAACAGAATATATCTTTTATCTAATACTAGCTACCCACTCCGGCTTCGCACTGGTGTACATGTATTATACATATAAACCTTCCTCTTGAATCACTCCATCTAATAAAAAAATGGCTTCAAAATCCGTTGCGTAGTTTAAAGATTTAAGCATAGATAGGAACGGACAGACAGCGACAGCGACTTTGTTTTATACTATGTATTGATAATGATACACTAGGTAATATCTACATACCTATGGTGTACCTGTATACCTATAGGAGCGGAGACAATATATGAGCGTGATACAAGCATTTTTACATAGATTTTATATTTAAAATCTATTACATGTATTCCGTAAATATTATTTATGAGTACAAAAATTATATCTGCTTACCATTTAAGTGACTGAATATGAACATAAATACATATATATGAGACGAAAGTAGCCAAAGAAACTAGTGGTTAATATATTACGGTGCAGTGTGTATTTAAGGTCAATAAGATTGAATAATTACACTCCAGTTAAATAAATTAGTGAAGGCTAAAACGACGCAGCTCGACTTATTTAAAAATTGTTTTCACACGTTTCGACTTGTAATATGTAAACTTACAAGGATTATTTAAAAGAGCAAAAATTTAAAAAAAATTAAAAGAGAAAAAAACTTGTGTGCAAGTTTCTTGCTCATTCTTCTTGTGATGAGATAGCTTAATGAGCGGTAGATTAAAAAAAAGTTAAATTCAAAAAGGCTTAAATTAAGTTTATTTGAATAAAGGATTTTTTATTTTATTCTATTCTATTCTACTGTTACCTAATTAAAAGTGGATCTAAGAAAATATCATAATGCCGAAATAATTTTGTTACTTTAATGTGTTTTGATGTTACAATATGAAATCTATTGTATAAATGTGCATATGGTTGTTATAGTAGCGCCTAAATCCGGACACCGGGGCTGCTGGTCCGATCTTATATAATCATAGGGCTGTTGTGGAACATTGGCAAATGTTGACACTGTCAGCGATCTCTCACAATATTTGGACCAACACACACATATCTCGTTTGCATGGTAACGAATTATCCATGTACATAAACTGTGTATGTTTACAAACTAGATTTACCTAAATTCTATTGGTGTAGGTATGGATTATACTTTCGTATTATTTATTTTGTTTTATTTATTAACTAGCTACTCACCCCGGCTTCGCACAGATGTACTATGAATAATATATAAACCTTCCTCTAGAATCACTCCATCCATTAAAAACAAAGCTTCAATATCCGTTGCGTAGTTTTAAAGATTTAAGCATATATAGGGACAAACAGCGACAGCGACTTTTAGACCCATATTATAAATACCTTATAGACTAATATACATATACTTTAATATTTAATATCTTGGTATTGTCTGTGTGGACACGGCACTGATGACGACAATCTGCCACAGTGGCGCCGATATACCACACCTTTCGGCCAGTAGTCCTCCTTCATGAAGGTGGACATCATGTTGGTGGGCCACAGACCCCTTGAAACTCACGTTGTGGCTCGACTCCAGCTACGTCACCCACAATATCAGGTTATTCTTGGTTCGTATATCATTGACAATGTCCTGCTCCTTATTAGATGCAATATCTACACTGCATCTTAGATATCATTTACAAAGTATAATTAGTGTATTGATATGCACATGAAATACAACGGCTTTCTATCAAATAAATAAATCTAAATATAAATCGAGTATTGAATACGTAATATCTACTTCTCCGAACGCGACGGAAAGTTAAAGGCAATTCTCAATACAATTGCAGTTTTATCTGCTTTCCTTTCAGAGAGCTTATGCCGTACCTATGACTGTATATCGCAGTTTTATCCTTTATACATACAAAACGATAGCTCGCAAATAAACTAAAATATTTAAATGTCTATTCTCTTGTTTCTTGAAAACGGCTTTTGAGAAATAATTTCAGTGTTTATATTGGGTAATTTAAATCAACTTGCCTTAAACTTGTCTTAACTTGCCAACGTACCATGGAAAGAAGTATGATAGGAAAGAGAAAAATAGAAAGATAAATCACCAAACAATTAGAAATTTAACTAAAACACAAGATATAAATGCTAACTAGACAGCTAAAATGGCGCTGGATCGGACACACATTACGTGGAAAGAATAAATGGAGCAAGGTTATAACTACTTGGTACCCAAGACAAGGACACAGAAAAAGAGGACGACCAATTAAAAGATGGGAGGATGAAATAGTTATAACAGCAGGGAAGCTATGGACCAGGATCACACAAGACAGAACAGAGTGGAAAAGATTAGAGGAGGCCTTTGCTTTAAAGCAAGCAGACGACCAAGAACTTGATATTGTATAAAAAGCAAGAAAAAAAAATAATCCAGAAAGTCTGAATAAAAGACTATAATAATAAAAATTTAATTTAAATCAACAATTTATTGAATATTGTTCACGGAAACGGAGGTATTGCTAAAGTAGGTGTTTTTAATTAGAAGAAATTTAAATAATCGTATTTAAATGTTTCGTTTGATTTGTTAAATGTATAATGTAATCACGCTCTATTAGTCAATCACATGTAACTGTCAATGTCAGTATCAACTTGTCTAAAATATGTCAAACGTCACTCTCTCTCCTTGTAATGTATCCCAAGTTTTTTTTCTTCTCCATAATTTATATCTTTAATAAAACAATAAAAGTAATAAAACAATTGCACTTATATAATACAAGTTTATTGTATATTATCAACTGCCTCTGCCCAATAGGTTTACCCAAATTTGCTAAAGTATTTGTATATTATTACATAGGTTTTTTATTATAATTTACACGGAGAATGCAGATAGTTCTTGGAAACAATAGGTCTACACTATGTTGCTAAAGTCCACACAATCAGCATACAATCAGCTATTCAAAACAAGAACCAAAGCTAAAGATCTAGTTTTGAGCGGCGCTAGCTGTAGTTGATAGCTACGTCGGTAGATACGTTTACATGACACAAACTCCATAGTTAAAATTAAAACTGACTGACCAAAGAGAATTAAATCATTAACTGTCATAAAAAACAATAATAATAAAAAGAGAAAAGATCGCAAAGAGATAATTTTAATGAATTTTGTTATGTTATTATATTCAAATTTTTTATATTGATACTTTCATATTCATAAAGAACTGTTACTAAAAATATTTGTAAATATGTTAACCGCCGCAAAAGTTCGTATTCATGGAATGCAGGATGAAAATTGGGTGATAAAGGACAAGATAAATCAATATAGGGGACTCATAAAACTGTATGGTATGCAGTGCATATTTTATTATGTGATAGTTATTATAGTACATTTTTTGTCAATGTTACGACACTTTATTCTATAGCTGTACAAGAAGCAGGCAGAAGCCTATCAGAGTCATCTATACATATAAATAAAATTGGAGTCTCTATAATATTGAAATAACCGTTTTTTATTACATGCTTATGAATATCAATACGGTACATGCACTAAAATAACATTTCTTACAATTTTTGTCTGTCTGTCTGTTTGTTCCGGCTAATCTCTGAAATGGCCGGACAGATTTTGACGGGACTTTCTTTGGCAGCTTGCTGATGTAATAAGGAGTAACTTGGGCTACTTTTGTTTTTGAAAAATACTTTTATTTTAGAAATAAAGTTAAATTCCACGCGGGCGATGTCGCGTGTACAGCTAGTCATATATATTATCAATGCACGCTTATATTAAGCTGATCTAATTGAGTGCTAATTAGTTTGGCACCGCATTAGTTTCCCCTTGAGACTGTTTTCCATAGACATTAAAAGATTATACCAGCTAATTGAATAATATTAATATTTACCAAAATGAAGGAATTTCCGTAGTACTTTCAATTTATTTAGTTGTAATTGAAAACCATATATAATTATGAAAATGTAAATATATATTTAGTACTGCCCATCTGATGGTAAACGGTTACCGGCCAGTATGCTTGTATGCTACTTACATACGTGGTAAAAAAATATTTAGTTAACTTATTCATATATCTAAAATATTTTTGTGTTTAGGTTCTTTTAATTATCAACTTACATAGTTAAGATTTACATCCGTGTTTCTAGAGCCATGTAGAACGAAATAAAGTCAACGTTACCAATTTATTACTATAGATCAGCAGATTGGTATCATATTTATCTATTATGTCCTAGATACCTTTTATCTAATCTTAATGTTCAATCAAATTTAAAAACAAGGAAAATTTTAATTCGGCTCTATTCTTTATGCGTGCACTTATGTACGTACGTAAGTATATAAGTAGTCTTTATATTACACCAATTTTGATAATTATTTTTGCCATCGTTATAGTTTAATTCTGCTTGGATCTCATACCATTGCCAATTGTTGTAGTTTTATGTTATTTGTATATAGGTAAAAACGAAATAAAGGCTAGGTATACGGAGAAAATATACATTTGGATAGTATTGATATAACAGAATGAAATAAGTGATAATTTAAATACAATTTTAAAATATAAAATACATTTGTGATTAGCCAGTTACGACACCCATGATATTCTTTGATGATTTATACATATAATATATATATGATATAGATATACATGTGTAATAAAATAATATATAAATTCTTTTAAAAATTTATTAATTCATACGTTATAAATAAACACAAGTACTAAACGAAAATCTCTCCTTTGTGTTGCATTGTATTGTATTGTATTGGTTACCGTTTCTATTGTTAAAGTAACTTACCAAGACTATCATGTGTCCGGTTAATGTTTCTTTTGTTGAACGAAGTCTAGTCTATTATATTTCATTTTAGAACGTGATCGCAAGATCCATGAAGGAGACTTAGCCAAACAAAAGAAGCGATACTTACGTGACATAAAACAGCTTCGTAAAGATATCTCGACAAAACGCGACGAGCTCGGCGTAGCTGTCTATGGAGACAAACAGTTTTTAAGAAATGCATTTCAGGAACACAAGAGATTGCAGCTTACCTATATGAATAGTCAGGCCGATGTGAGAAGAATTATATATTACAACAATATACAGTATATAATACACGTAGAATTACATTTTGAGCTTGTTTCGTAGTTGAAAACCAAACGCCTTTTAATATATAAAATTCTCGTGTCACTGGTTTAGTGTTTATACTCCATCGATTTTGATGAAATTTTATATGTATATTCACTAATATTCAGTAGGTCTGAGAATAGGTTTACAACTAATTTTATACCCCTAGATGTGAGGTGGCTCATCGCAAATTTTTTTATCGACATTTTTTTTTAATTTTTATAATGCGGCTTAAAACATACATACAATCCTAAATTTCGGCAATCAAATCAAAATTGTTTTTGTCTTTTCGTTTTAGTTAAATAATTATAATTATAATTTCAGGACATTTTGCACAGCGCTATCTAAACCCAAGTTAAGCTAGCTAAAACTTGTGTTATGGGTACTAGATAACTGATACAAATACATAGATATACATTTTTTTTCGTATAACCTACCGCTATAAACAATCATGCTCATGAATACAAATATTTGTGCCGTGCGAGGAATCGAACCTGCGACCATAGGAAGTAAGGCGCTCTGCTAAACTGCTAGACCACCGAGGTCGTCAATTGGTTAAATTTTTAAATAAAAACTATTGTATTTTGTATTGAAATTTCGATTACTATAACATAAGCATATTTGTATACATACCAAATTCATCAGAGTCAGCTACAGATAATAATTTCATCTTCCACACAGATGTTACTTTTTAATCTTACAATTTTAATACACTGCTTGTCATCGGCTGCTATTTCGAGAATTTCCATAAATTTTCTCGTGAGTCACAGTTTTGTTCGGTTGGTAATATGTATTTTTGAAAACGATTTATATATATTTACTGCAATTTGATCTGATATTGAAATAACCGTTTTTTACTACATGCATATGAATATAAATAGAATAGATACACCAAAACATCATTATTTTCAATTTTTGTCTGTCTGTCTTTGTTCCTGCTAATCTCTGAAATGGCTGGACCGATTTTGGCGGGACTTTTCTTGGCAGTAGTAGTAAGTAGGCTACTTAGCCTACGTTACTTCCTTATTATATCAGTTACCTAAATAAAAGTTTATTTTAGAAAAAACTTTTATTTTAGAAGAATAAAGTTAAATTCCACGCGGACGTAGTTGCGGGAACAGCTAGTTTTATATATAACGATTATAATATTCCCATAAAGATTAGATACCTATGGGCCGGTTAATATATTTTGGTATCCCGGTCCTATTCATTTCCGACCCGTCACCCATTCCCTGAGTGAAATGTGTCACAATGTGTCTTGTTAAACTTTGGAAAATGAGATGATTCCTGTTTGGTGAGTCAGATTACATAATATTAAATTAATAGAGAAAGCTCAAATCCTAAGTTTTCATTAAATCTATACTTACATTATAAAGCTGAAGAGTTTGTTTGTTTGAAAGGGCTAATCTCAGTAACCACTGGTTAGAATTGAAAATTTTTTTGTGTTGGATAGTCCATTTGTAAGCTATATAATTATGCTACGATTAATAGGAGTAGAGAGGGAATGAATAATATAGCAAAAGGTGGGGAAATGAAATGCAGACAAAGTGTCGCGGGACAACTAGTACAATATAATTCAACTGGTCACAGAAAAGTATTTAGGTTTATTAAGTTTATTGTTTAGGTATATTAAGTTTAGGTAGTCTAAATCCTATTGGATGTTTTAATAATGCGTATCCTATAGCAAATAATATACAGTTACTAGTTAACCCCGCAAACGTCGTTTTGCCATATAAATTAAAATTGCTACCAAAAAATAGGGGTTGGTGATGATGAGTGGAAATTTAGGGTTGTATATATTTTAAATGTCACATTATAAAAAAATAAAATACTGGTCATAAAAATTAAAAAATGTTAGGGGTGGACAACCCTTATCACATAGATAATAGCCGATTCTCAGACCTACTGAGTAATCAGTATTAACTTATAAAATTTCATAAAAATCGCTCAAACCATTTGGGAGAAGTATCGTAATAAACACTGAGACATGAGAATTGTATATATAACATTATAAGGAAATAATATATAGAACCTAAATAATTAGTTCGTGATAGTTTTATACGAGTAAACTTAACTCATATATCTATTCAATATAGTATATAAGCAAGGTATATATGTACACGCATCCATTTTCCCTGCAACCAAAACTGTAACTCGTGTCTAGAAGTTTCGAAGCACTACACCGTGGTACTTATTGGAATAGTCTGGAAATGTAATATATAGATTTGCTGCTCCAAGCGAAATTTGTATTAATGATATTTCCTTTCAGTTTAGCGCATCTAACTTGACTAAGTACAAAGTATCAAACTGTATTCATGCAATACGTTTCTGTATAGTACCTAATGAATAACATTTTGATAATATTAATATTATCTTCATAAAGGGATTAAGATTAGCAAATGATCTAGGGACTTTGGATATTTAAATAAATAAACCGCGATAAAAATTATAACTGTTGATTGATTCCAATATGGATATTTTTAGTACTATTATAACGTAATAATTAGACGATTTTTTTATGCCTAAATTCGTTGCATTAAAATATTTAAAATAACGTACTGGTTTCTACGTATAGTAATGTCAAATATTATTAATGATTCCAATAATGATAAATATTTATTTGTTATTGATAGTATATTCGTTTGTACCATTTTTCTTATTGCAGAAAGTACTGGAAAGTATACATCAAGAGAATTTCAACAAACGAAAGCAGCTCGATAGGATAAGATACACGAAAAAGAATAAAATGGAAAAGTTTCGTTTAACTCAGGTATAAGCAAATTGTTTATTCATAATAATATATCCTTTTTCCGATTACTTGCTCATATTCTGACGACTTACAAAGTCTTAAAAACAATATGCGTAGCTAGAGTCGGCCGAGTTACGTGATCGCCTTATATATGAAGTCGGTGGGAAGTTACCAGCGGAGAAGAAAGAACAAGCTGTCGCTAATTATGTACAGCGAGCTAATATAAAGAAGAATGCTGCCTTAGCCATCAAGGTTATGTATAAGAAAATTCTGGATATACTGAAAAAGGTAACGACATAGTTATGAACACTGTTATGTTCACTCGTATATTAGACAATAAAAAAAATAATAATATCACATATACCTAGTGAGATTAGAGATCTCTAATAGAATACAGACCATATTACTATTAATACAAAAGCAGTCAAGTTAATATAATATATAATATATTTTTTAAATTTATTGTGTTGTCTAATGTCTAATAATCTATGTAACCAAATCCGATAAAATATACGTATTTTTTATATATTCTAATTACAGCAATAGTGCAATCTGAATTTACTAGTTGACGACATATAGTTACATAGTTATACGATTATCACTCTACGATAAATGCAAACCTTTTCATACTAATAACTTTTATTACAAACTAAAAATATTTAATTAAGTAGGTATTTCATAAAATTCATTTATTACAGTAGATTTTTTAAGAGAAAGGCTATGGCCGATTGTTTATTTTAGTGCTTATTTGTTAATAGGACTCGTCATACTTTACTGTCGTACTGGAAGCATTAAAATTGGACTGTCGAGCTCAAGGCAAATGCTTAATGGGTGCTACAGAAATGGGTCAGCTTGCGATGGAATATCTGGACGACAGAAAATTCGAATTCAGTAAATTGGAGAAAGAGATCAAGGCTAACATGAAGGAGAGAGAAAGAACACTGAAGTTGGTTCGACGTGAAGTAGCTTATTTGACAGATTCTTTCCCAAATTTAATAAGGAAAGAAGTAAGTGCATTGCCGAGAGAATATTAATAATATTTATTATGCTCCTAATGTTATAAATTCATATGTAATCTCCCACTGTATGAATAGCAGGAAAAGTACCGTAAGTTTTAATGAAATTGACTGTTCCTTTAATATTTGTTACTAGGAAGCAACAAATCTTGACGATTTATATGAAGATGAAGATGCGGGCAGTAAACACTCTGTTCACTGGGAATTAGAGGAGGTGATGGGAATTTGCAAGTCTCTCCAAAAGGCTACTTTAGTGTCGTCATTTGAACAAATACTTCTTAGGTAATATAAAAAATAAATTATAATAATAATACCAGATAATGTAGTATTACTGAATTTATCAAAACAATAGTTGAGTCGCCTGTAAGCGTGCTTATCTTCAAACTTTGCTCTGTAATGTGAAAACAATATTTTAAAATTCAAATTGTGTTGTTCCGATAATTTGCTAATTGAATTATTTTAGTCATGACAATATATTTTTTTATTAGGATCCCAATGGTAGTTATAGATATTCACTAAAATTTGGTTACTTCGAAATCCTAGGTTAAAGGAGCAGCACTATCAAACAGAGCGACTTATGATGCAATTGACTGTAAATGGCTTAAAGAGGGATGCATTGATTGAAGACCGCAAGCATGCTATTATAATGCTGGACTCTTTAAAGAATGTCGGACAAGAGAGAACTGCTCAGTGAGTTTCAAATCAAAATATCTATATTCATAGGTCTATTACTCACATTTATGATTGGCAAATCTACCGTCAGTTGGGAATGCTCCCGAGCTGAGATGTACTGATAATAAACTCAGCTCGTATTGTTTTCAAATGTTGTTTACAATAGAAGAAATTTATTTTTAAATTCAAATTGGGAAGAATAGCGTGGCCACCAGCATATGCTAATGTAATTTTGTCAAAAGCAAATAGTGTAATCAGTGTTCGTAAACCGGATAGACCAGTCCCCACAAGCATCTAGTATCTTTAATATTGTTATGAAGATATAACAAGTTTTTTTTATACTATTATATATGGTGGCAAACAAGCATATGGCCTATCTGATTGTACATGATGTTACATGATGTTACATACTTGGTGTTACATGCGCGTTGCGAACTTTAAGAAACCTTAATATACCGTTCCTGAAAAAACAGTTACTCAGAGCACAGTAATTGTTTTTGTGTAAACACAAATATTCAATACAATGTTTTTTTTTTATTATAGTTACTCGATAGAAGAAATTGAAAGTGTTTACATTGTATTGGTGTACAAACATTTCTATTTACGTGAATGTCTGTTGAAGCTTTGATTGGTTTCTAAGTATTATTTTAGTACGTAGTATCCGGCTCATTCATCATCATCATCATCATCATCATCATCATCATCAGCTCATTGCAGTCCATGCCACTGGGCACGATCTTCAGTCCTTCTCTTCCAATGACTACCCTACATATGTCGTCGCTATATTGCTAGATAAAGATAAAGATAAAAAATATTTATTCAGTGCTTTTCAACAATGTTGCAATATAAAAACATGCTAAAGAAAAAAAAAGATTAAATAAAATGTATATATAATTAATCTTAATTTACCATGTAGATAATTAAAAATAAACATAAAAGTTGACTTGCGCTACTTTGCTGCATCACACTTACTTGACATTTATCATTATATATTTCGCCCAATTTACATAATATCTCTTTAAACTATAGCCTATGTGTTATTATGATATATAAGCTATGTTACTGTAAAGTTACATCGATATCCGTGTTTTTACATGTATTCGACAAAAAATACCGCAAGATACAGTTACTTAGCTACAATCGATGTTCTCTTTTATGTTGTCCTTTTACTATATAACTTTTACTTGCCTTTAATTCAAACTTTTAATGAAGAGCACTCGAAGGTTGTGAAGTTCTTTTACAGCAGCCTTTCACATTCTACAAACTGAACGAATTGTTATTATTTATGCCACAAAAAAAACTTGATTTGAAATTATAAATTAAATACGTATACCTAATCTATATCTACATCTATACATATAAATAAAATTGGAGTGTCTGTTTGTAATATTGAAATAACCATTCTTTACATGTAGTAAAGAATATAATCATATGAATATAAATACGCTATATACTACAATATAACATTTTTTACAATTTTTGTCTGTCTGTGTGTCTGACTGTTAGTTCCGGCTAATCTCTGAAATGGCTGGACCGATTTTGATGGGACTTTTATTGGCTGGTAGCTGATGTAATAAAGAGTAATATAGGTCACTTTTATTTTAGAAAAAATCTATATTTTTAGAAAACTAAAGTTAAAATCCTCGCGGACAAAGTCGTGGGTACAGCTAGTTATATATATATTATTAATGTTTTACTAAATTATTACAATAATAATCATGAAGTTAAATAGATATTCATTAAAATACGATTATTTAGTTTTGTTTTGGCATAAGGACAATTATTAAGATCATCAATCTAGATCTAGATACACTCTAATTTAAGCATCAATATTAAATACAGTTGTAAAAAAATAACATAGTGATAAAACAGTTTCATTGTCGCTCTCTGTTTTACTCAACATTGTTATGCATAAGTTGACAAAGCACGAGAACCCACCAGTTGTGTGGTGATCTAAAGTCATATAAAGCTATGCATTTACATATTAGGCACTATGTACAGTTACTAAAATGAAGACATTGTAGATTTGCCTTATTACCTACTGTTATTTTTATATACATAGTAAATTAGCTGTTCCCGTGACTTGATCTGCGAGGAGTAGTGACACTTTGGATATCATTTTTAATTATTTTATAAATAAGACAAAATGAAAGCTATGTAGATTTATTTTGTTACTATCATTTTATTAACATAGTAAATTAGCCATGCTTGCGATTTCGTCTAAGAGAAGTAACCTCGGATATAATTTTTAATTATTTTGCCTAATTATTTTACAAATGAGACATATACGTTTAAATACTTAATAAACCATTTGCAGTAGTTCCATCTTTCAAGCTTCAAAAATGCCTATATTCCATACAAACTTTCAGCCCCTAATTTATTTAACCGCTTAAGGGTAACATTTTTACAGACTTTGAATGCCATATTTATTTATATTTAGTCAACAGTCTCAAAAGTAAGTTTTAAGCTATTTGCGTTAAAAATGACGACACTTCCATTCAACCTATCATCTACCCATTCAACCCTTTGTAACTTTTTTTCATTAAAACGTAGATTATGTAATTTCTCAAAATCTAGACTATCTGTGTAGTTCAGTAGTTTATACGTGAAAGCTCAACAGACAGACAGAGTTACTTTCGCATTTGCAATATTAGTAAGGACGTCATTCTAAAAGTTAAAAAATATATAAATATAATTCGTCCCCTATGGTCACGGTTATATACCAAGGTAGCGTCGATACATCAACCTTCGGCCAGTAGTACTCCTTCATGAAGGTGGGCAGCATATTAGTCACATACGGCAGGAACCTCGACTCCAACTTCTTAGAAAAAAAAAATCACTAAGCAACCTACGAAATACTAAAATAGTTTAGGTGAATATTAAATAACTATTCTGTAACTTAAACTTCAATTAGGTATACAAACAAAAGCATCATAAATATGTTTTAATATGCTTAATTAATGATATTATTTGTTGGGAACGTTCTACTCGTGCGATCTCTGTCCATAAAAGCAGGGTAACTATCCTGAAGTTCAGAACAATGCACAGTTTACATTCGTTATTGAATTCAAACAAACAATGCCTTTGTTCCGTTGTTTAATTAATGTCAGTTAACATGATGCGTATTTAAAATTATGAAATATGTTTCGTCTAATAAGAATAGAATAGAATAGAATAGAAAATCATTTATTCAAATAAACTTACATTGAAGCACTTTTGAATAGTCATTACATTTTTTTAATCTACCGCTCATTCGGAAAGCTATTTCATCACAAGAAGAACGAGCAAGAAACTTGCGTGTTGCTCTTTTAAATAATTTTATTATTACTTTCTATTTTTAAGTTTAAGTGTGTGAATACAAACCACCAATTAGCACTAATTCAATTAAATACTCAAATAGAAAAAATATTGAATATATAACCAACTGGTTAAACAATTAATAAGAGGAAATCAGTCATAGTGATTAGAGCAGACCAGTTCCTACAAGCAGCACCCGTTCACGAGTATGACAGATGAGCTAGCCATCACTGCGCTCGACCATATTTTAGGGAGCCCAATGACCCGGCCCACCACGCCGCCGCGCCGCCACCAGTCTGGACATTTTAGTGAGCATGACTACTCAAAACACCAGACCACGTCAAAACTGCTTACAATTGCCATCTGATAGTTATATATGTAATATTATGTTATCTGTGGTTATAGTATTCACATTTTACATAAGAATGCATGCGGCAATCAATACAAAAATAATGTTTTGTATGTTTTTTAATACTTATACATATATTTGTTTTAGTTCATTTGTACAAGTTATCGTAGATACATCATGCATATACATATTTAAAAGAAAAATTATTTGAAAACATACTTTTTTAAGCTACTATTTATATAGTATATAAAGAGATTGAAGGAAAATTGTAAATAATAGCAATAGCTTCACTGACATAAATTATGAATGTTTATTTATATATGAGATTATTACCACTTATAGGTAATCATAAATAAACAATGCCCATGCAAAAAAACCGGTTTATTTAAAATAAAAGAATTGAGTTTCTTCTTAGTTCATTAGCCATCAGCTTGTTTACCATAGTAATTATCTATACATATAAATAAAGAAGAAGAAAGAGAAGAAAAATAAGAAATATTGGATTGTTTGGAAATGTTGGAATGTTCCATATTGGAAATAACCGTTTTTTACTACATGGACATGAATATAAATAGGATACATACACCAAAATGATTTACAATTTTTGTCTGTTTGTCTGTTTGTTCCGGTCAATATCTCAAAATGGCTGAACTGATTTTGACGCGACTTTTTATAGCAGGTAGCTGATGTAATAAGGAGTAAGTTAGGCTACTTTTAACTTAGAAAAATAAAGTAAATTCCATACAGACCAAGTTGCGAGTATAGTTAGTCGCCTATATAAATAAACAACGCCAATGTAGATAAAGCAGCTTATTTAAAAAAACAATTGAGTTTCTTCTTAGTTCATTAACCGTCAGCTTATTTACCATAGTAATTATTATACATAAAAATAGTTTATGCAATTTCGTCATAAATATCTACCTAGTTTAGCTTCGACGTAGTGGTGTTCTTATAGAAGTAGGTAGAGGCCAGAAATATAGATGAGACTATTTTATATGTAACACCATGCTTCGGAATTTTTTATTTACTTATTTGTGAATTCGTTTGGTACTGAATTTTTAACGTTGGAAGTAGGCTGTTCGTTTTAGTTGGTGTTTTCATTTAGTAATACCGAATACATATATATACATATATTGTGAAGTGTGTAAAGTAGGTAACATATATATGTATATATATATATATATATATATATATATATCTTTGTATATTTACGTATGCATCTATAGTATCGATCGCAGTGCAATGACTCGGATATCAAATTACTGGAACTCATTAGTGAACAAGATACACTACTTTTAACAAAGGCGGAGTACTTAGAGTGACTGTAGAATAAATAAACAAATAATAAATAATGTCGAAGGTAAATAAAATG